GGCTGATTGACTGAGGTCAAAGTCTCAACTGCTCTCTATCTGATTCCTTTGAACAGATCTTAGGTAGACTTACTTGGTTCCTCAGCTCACCCCAATGTTTAGACAGGCTGTAGTAGACGTCTACCTGAGGGGCTGATATACGGCTAGAAGAGGTAGAGAACATGTTGGCCTCAGGATTAGAGTTAGTTTGACAGCTGCCTAGCATGGTTCCTGTAAGTTTACATGTGTCCAGAAACAGCCACAGACATGAATCTCTCTGATAGGAGTTTACTAATTAAAAAATGATCCTATCCTTTTGATGAGAAATTTATTGATTGCTTGGTAAGGTAAGGTTAGCATAGGTGTTCAGCTGCGGTGCTTATGAACAAGACAGGTTCAGGTCAAGGTTCAGTAATTTCAAATAAAGCAGAAATGTTGGAATTATAAATACAGTTCTTCTAGTTTGCATGCCCCTTGCAGAACTGGTTGGTCTAAGTTTTTTTAATTAGATGATGGGGGTAAATTGTACATATATTTTGTCTTCTTGGAAACGTAACTATCATGTAGCTTCTAAAGGGCAGTGCTAAATGAAAAAAAAGAAGATATTTAAACAAATTAGAAAATGCACAACCCACGGCTCGTAATGCATTGTGTTGCCATCTTGAGCATCAGTGAATGTTTTCACCTTCATCTAATAGTTGTTTAGAGTCCCTCAATTGTTCTCAGTGTGAGAAGATGGATCTCAAAATCATACAGTCACTGTTGAAAATGGTTTAAATGTGCAGAAGATGGTAGAAAACCAAAGAATGTGAGGAAACTTGAGGATTTTCTGGATAACAGTGCTCAGTTTAACTGGACAAACAAGGGTCTCAAACAACTATCACAAAAGACAAAAACAATCATTCATCATCCAGGTAATGACTCACTGTTTCTAGATTCTAGTTTGTTTGTGCAAATTCTGTTATTTTGTCTTGTGGACTGTATGTCAAAATCTGTTATTTGAAACAGCTTATCCAGGACCTTACTAATTAAAAAATAACATGCCATTTTTATGATCCCTCAATGTTTTTTAATATTATCTTGCATATTCTGTAACGGTTATGTAAACTTATGAACAGAACTGTTTTTATTTCTTTAATACATGTTCTACATATTAAATATGTAATATCTCTTTATTTACAGACCTCTTATGGACACTAGTTTTTTGACAAGCTTTTAAGATTTTAGGTCTAGGTTAACACATACACATGCACACACACACACATTGTGTTTTCATTTTTTCTGGGGACTTTCCATAGACATAATGATTTTTAAACTGTACAAACTGTATATTATATCCCCTTACACTAACCCTACCCCTAAATCTACCAGGGCACACAGAAAACTTTCTGCATTTTTACCTTTTTCTAAAAAACATCACTTAGTATGATTTATAAGCTGTTTACGTCATGGGGACCAAAAGATGCCCCGACATTTTGTATATTGCAGTCATTGTGGGGACATTTTGTCCCCATAATGTAGGGTTTACCAGGCCACAAACACACACACTGGAGGAGACCTGCACATGATTTGTTCTGGAGCTCTTTTGAGAGAATGTGAGTTCTCTCTCTCAGCTCTCACAGAGATCAAAGACAAACCTTTTACAGCTAAATCAACCATCACACACAACCATACAAACAAGCCGCTAAATGCTGCCCAGGGAAGGGGAAATAGATCATTTATTTCTGTTTTTTGTTTATTTTATTTTTATTCATAAATGGGTTGGCTCTCTCACACATTCACACTATAGACACAGAAGAGGCCTGTCACAGACAGATGATACACTTGTCAGATTTCTCAAAGGATCACTCAAGTGTTTTTCAGAAGCATTTACACATTTCTCTCCTTACTCTATTTAGGAGAGCTGGCCGGTCTCAATGAGAGGAGAACCAGAAATGCAAATGCAGATTTAATCTCATGCCCTGGACAAAAACTATCCCTTCCTCAACAAACTAACATCCTCTGCTACACACACCTGAAGCAAGTGAAACAATCACTAAGAACTCTCAGACAGCTAATTAAACAATCAATCACAATTTCTCAAAAAACAACAAAAAACACTTGATGATGAGCAGTCCCTAAAGCTGCGATTCAGTGTGTGGCGTAGAAAGGGTTGTGTTCGTCCCACTGGCTGACCTCTCTTTTGTTCTTCCTCAGATCAGTAAATACTGCTTCTTAATTTGCTCGCGCATGGCACAATAAAAGCCCATTAACTCATGCAAATGTGTGGCCACTTCAGCAGCTTGCCACGGCCGGCTGGCGCTGCTGTGGTCACGATACTGTGGCATCTGCAGCGCGGCACTTTGGGACGTGCCCGCTGACACCGTGAACGAGCGCACAGGGAACGCTGTGTCTCCGGTGAGTGCCAGGAAGGCAGTGTGCGCTGTGTTTTGATAAGCAGTCTTGCTAATTTACCATTCAGGTCATTCGCATGTCTTAATTTAGGTGGAACAATGAGACCAATTGTCTCTTTTTTTTGTTTCACGTGAAGTGCTTCTCCGGCCTGTCTAGCGAATCGCAGCCTTGCGTCGCCCTGATGTCAAAAGTAAAGATGCAATTCTGTCTCATTCTCAAGCTTATCTTGGCCTATTTGAAACAGGGTCATCAAAAATGAGCCTTCCGTCTGACTGTCCATCTTAAAGTGTGAATTGAAGCTTCTTCCCTCTGTGGAGAAATTGGGTTTCTGTCGGGGAGAGAGAAAGAGCTGACTCGCTCTAAAAGCTGGTGAGAAGATGAAAGAATCCTCTTATGTCAGTAAACTTGTTAAGAGGCTGTGCTGGGGACAGCGTTTTCCCAACATTTTTTTTTTTTTTTTTTTTGGTTTAGCGTTATTTCATATTTGTGGTAAATTTTATTTATTTATTTAGGAAAGTGGCAGAATTTGTTGCCCTTCTCTCTTTCTCTTTCTCCCTCTCCCCCTCTGTTAGCCCAGGCCTCGAGATAAGACTTGGCATGCTCAGCGCTAACCCTGTGACACAGACAGAAAGCAGAGATGCTGCTCTTCCTTCAATATGACATTAGATTTATTTTTTTCTGCAACCTTTAGCCATCCAAACAGGTCACACGGATGGATAGACGGCTGGACCAAGAATATTTGAAAGTTATGTTTGGTCACAGTCAAACTCCATGTTTTTGCTGAAGCAGTCAGTGCATATGCTCCACACTGTTTCGCTCATATGGGTGTCGAAAATTCTTATCTGGCATTCCCTGATCTCATTTCCATGTCTTTTTACACAATTATTTTCTGTGATTCTCCACTATCACTCATTAGCCATGTTTCCATCCACCTATTTTTATGCAAATTTTAGGATATCGTTAAAAAAAACACTGGATGGAAACGCCAAGATGCGCTTAAATTAAAAAAAATGATATGCAATATTTTTTTTATCCGATAAGAAGACATGCGCATAAACTATGATGGAAACACATTTACTGAATAAATCCTTCAATACTCAACAAAAAACCTCACATGACTTTGCCTATGTGATTGAGTATGTGATTGTATCAGTTTCATTGTACAGCATTCTGAAATGCCTGAGCCAAGGTCTGTCATCAGAATTATTTGGTATGATGACCTCCCAGAAGTGTCTCACATGATTGCGTTCCCAAACCCCAGACATCCGAACGCAAGATAACATGACAGCGTTTATTGCATTTCATCTGCAAGCTCTGAAGCTCAAGTCATTTATGATGGATGAAAAAAGAGCCACAGTGGGTTCCCTGATTGCTGCAACTTCCATTTTTATTACAGGAAATTTTCTAGGAAGTGACGATTTTGTTCCTTTAAACACATGAACGGTGCATTATTTGCAAATATTTTATATATTCCAATTTTGTGCATAAGTTAAATTCACAACTTTGGATGGAAACACAGCTATTTACTGCTGGAAGTGTTTACTTTTTGATATACAGTATTACGATGCTTTAAATAACATCTGGGATATTTCATGCCGCTTTGTCATGTCTAGATACATTTTTAATACTATTTAATCAAATAAATTAAAAATAAAACACTAATTCTAAGTGAATTTAGGAATAACAAAATTACAATGTACAGTATGAAATTAGCTAAAGATTACATGTGACAGTGTTATTTACTTGAGTGTTTTTAAAAGATAAACTTTAATTGAGCACTATATATGTAAAAAATACGTTACATTAAAAAAATCTCTAATATTAGCTGATAAATGATGCGGTACCAATATTTTGTGCGTCTCTAGATAAAAGTGTGTGCTAAACGAATAAATGTTATTAGCAATTAAAGTGGATAGTATACAAAATGAGATTGTTACTAATAAATAGGCAAAAGCAGCTTGGTTTCTTGTGATTGTTTTTTGGGTAACATGTCCACCATCTGCTACTGACTGGCATCTAATGTTTGTGTAGGAATGAATATACAAATCTTTTTGAATGCCATCTGTATGAGAAAGAAAGAGTGTGTATGTTTGTGTCTTTGTGTTGTAGCCCACTGGTCCAGGGAGTTGTCACAGAGTGTGTGTGTGTGGAGGAGACAGAGGTGCGTTCACCTTGTTGAGACGTGCAGAGGTGTTCCACACTGCGCTGGCACCTGGCACAGAGCTCTGGCTCAAACCCAGACACACACCAGGAGCGAGTGTGTGTGTGTGTGTGTGTGTTTGAAGAAAACAGAGAGTGTGTGAGGGGTGTCATAGTCTGGTGTGTGTGCCAGCATGTTGAGTCAGTAAGCACCCTTGAGATGCATATGTTTATCTGTGTAGAGTATTCATCTTTTTTCATTCCCTTTAAGTTAATGTGTTTTTGCATGTGTTCAGAACTCAAATCGCTCCTCTTTTTATTTTTTTGGACCGAAGGTGCCAAAAACTAGTTACAGTCTGAAAACAATCCTTCCTATCTCTCCAGCTCTCTGTGGTGATATGAAAGGCACAGTGCAGGGCTCTTGTTGCATATCTCCACTATTGTTCTGTCTGCCTTTCCTCTTTCTCACTGGCTTTCTCCCTGTTTAGACAGTCTCCTGTTTGAGTTCGATCAGATGTCGTTCTGCCTGGCGGAGCTGCACTTGTGGTCCTTCAGGAACAGCCTGCATGTCCCAGGTAATTAAAACACACTGAACGTCTCTCTTTTACACATTTTGTTGCCTCTCATGTCTGTTCCTGCTATCTTCCCTTTAATGTCTTCTTTTCTTCTCATTAAATGTGCCCGTTTGCCTCTCTCTGAATTTGTCCTCTGTAATAATGAATATTAGTTCTTTCAGAGCCGGTTAAACTGCTGTGTCATACACTTATGTAGGTTATTATTATTACACCAGAACAGTTAGTCTTTTGATTAGAGACGTTCTATGGCCTATAATTAAATTTATGGCATACATAATTATATCTTTTAAGAGGCAGTTTGTGATAAATACTTCATAATGCACAACATTTCAATTTGTCATGACTAGTTGTTTATTGGTGCTTTATAGTAAAAATCCTCACATCCTCTGCTCCTGTTTTAACCTTTTTGAATGTTTGTTCCTTCTTTACCCTTTGGTTCTTCTCCTTGGGTATTCTGGTATACTGGAAGTGTGTGTAAGAGCAATGTGTATTTTGCTTTTTCTCACAGACGAGTCCAGTTATCAGTTATTTGGAAAATCCTGTGATAGCATGTTGTCGCAGATTGTACGCATGCATGTTTTTGTACATGCGTTATATTGTGTTCTGCAATCTGTTTGCAAGCATTTGTATGTGATTGGAGCTCTATCGCCTGTAGCCAGCCCTCCTGACCTGTGCATTGAGTGACAGAGAGAGAGAGCGAGCAAGGGAATGAAACACGCGGTGAATCCGCCAGTGTGAATGAATGAAAACTTAAAAAAATTATGCATGGATGGAAATGGTGTAGTCCATCTTTATTTGTAATACCATGTCAGAAGTACACAGTCTATGAAGAGTAAATCAATAGTAAATCCAATGCAAATTCAAACATTATAGGTGCTCACATGTTTTTCGTAATGTACATGCACCTTTTGAATTCTTCTAGACAGGACTTATTTTAGCTGTTTGTCGCTAACAAACCAGTGTTTCATTTTGTATTTGAAGTGAACTCTGACCTCTTCTTCCCTCTTTTGATTTGCCTTTTCACAGATACAGACATTGGCACATACCAACTCTATGAAAAAGGAGAACCAGGTATGCTGCATCTTGTGATTTTCTTAAATATATCATTCATTTACAATCCTTATTTTTTCATGAAATTTGATCATAACCTTTTTGTCATTCAAAATTTTCAAAATAGTAAAAACCAATAACATGCAAGAATAAATGGCTATACAAAATAAGAACTTTTAGTTCATTCTTCCTGTCTGTACTACAGTATTCTGTAAATGTCTTCATTGAAGTTCACTGAATGAGAACATCACTTCAGTGTATTTTCCTCGTGTTATTCAACACCAGATACTCTCACAGAACCCGTCATTCACATAGTTCTACAAATCTCTCTGCACCTTTTTAATATTTTTTTATTAAATCAGTATTTAATTTGATTATACCTTACCTATTCAATTTTGAAAGATTTACCCCTAAAATAAGTGTAGAAAAAGCTGAAAAAAGGTCTGCTTCTCACGTGGGCCTGCTCATAACTGTTACAGATGTTCTCTAAATGCTTCTGGGCAAATGAAGTGCCACCAGGTTTCTTGAGGTTGTTTTTTATGTGTCACAGATTAAACATTTAATAATCTGGACCCCTCATGAGAGGACACAGCCAGCTCTGAAATGTGAAAAGCTTATTGATTAAAACAATGACAAAACTATTTTATTCATTTTTAATACTTCAGACTTGAGACTTGAAAGGTTTTGTTTGTTCCAATGTTTTATATGATAACGTCTGAGAAAACACAAAGGCTTTGATGTTTAAAGACTTTGAGATGGCTGAAGTCTCAGATATTTAAGAAGGGGGAATGTAATAATGCAGTGTTAGTTTATTTCACATGCCTGTTTATTAATAGAGATCAAAATTTGTATGTTAAATCTGTAAAAACCTCATTCTGTTAATGTGTGTTCATATGAGTGATCATTTCTGTATTATTATGAAATCAATCTCAATCTCTGATGGTAATTTATTTAGATATTTTATCTCTCATCTCCCATTTATGATTCACACAAGGAATGAAACATGACTCTGAATTACTTTAATTATCTTTATTTAACCTGCAGTGTATAATTTATACTTTATAGAGCAGGCTATAAAATCAATATTATTTTATAAATGGAGTTTCTGTTTGAATGTGGGACCTGCTGTTTCTCATGGCCTCCAGCAGAGGGTGAAGGAGACCCATGCTTCTGTGAGGAAGGGGGCTCTTCACCCCTCTATCCCATAGCAGATGTGTGTGTCTGGGGCAGGCAGGGGCAGAATGGCAGAATCTGATTAGCAGCAGTAATCCTGGAGCTGTCCAGCAGGTCCAGGCCTCCAGCAGAGAGAGGCAGTGCTCCTGTAGAGCAAGGCAGGGAATGGGGCCGTCTGGTTGGGCCATTGAGGGCTAGAGATCTGGGACTCTAGGGTGAGATGGGGCTATAGCATAGAGAAGAGAGAGCATGCTGACAAAGCAGGAGTTTGGTCTTGCCTCAGTCATTTCCGTCTGTCGGGATACCTGTCCCTCTGACTGTATGAGTCAGTGTTTTTCTCTTTCTGGCAAACACACACATTGGGGTGAGACTACAACTTAGTGAATATATGCTGAGAAAGGCATTTGAGGGAGTGTTTACACATACTTGGGTGTTGCTTAAACTATGGGCACTTTTATGTGGCAGGAAATTTATTTTTATTAAAAATGTTTTTGTTTTTTTAAGGTTACATTAAAAATGTCTTAGAAATGTCATACAATTTCTTCGTTTGCTTTGCTAATGTTCATATATTTTATATTTTTAGTCACAGATTTTATATTTTTTGTTTTGTATATAAATATAAAGTATATAAAAAAGTATATCAAACTTTTGATCTTAAACAATGAAAGTTCACTGTAAAACTATTAATTATTACATTTAAAAAACTAGAATATTTTAAACAACGAGTGAAACAGACAAACAATTTTAATATCCAGTGTATGAAAATAAATGTATATAATTTTTTTTAAATGTACCATCACTTGTGACTTCCATCACACCCAACAGGTCTGCCACTAAAGTTTAAAGTTTACTTTGCAGCCAAGGACACAAAAGTGTCAGTCAAGAGCAATGAAGTGCCATTAAGATAAATATCAATTATGTTTAATAACAGTACTTTCATTATCCGTCATTTCCAGTAAAGGTAGTATTTTGTCAAATTAAGCAAAACGTGTGAAATTATTATTTAATTTAGTATTCTATAAAAATTTGCATTTGAAGGACAAAGGAGTCTGCATTTTTGTATAAAAAATATTTGGTATGTCATTTTCATCACAAAAAGCTAATAAATGCAATAGTTGATTTGGAATGTGGTGGGTTTCATAGATGTGAATACATAGATGCCTCATTAACGGCTGTTTCTGTGGGCCGCCGTAAGACATCCGCCATATTGTAACGATCAAAGCCGGTCCATGAACATTCAAGAGCAAATTGACTGAGTGTCTGCAACCATAGTTAGACGCATGTATGAATATCTATATCTGCAATAGAAAAACTAACACAATACAACAAGACAAAGACGTCAGCTAACACGACGTTAAAAAGTTACCATAGTAAAAGTAAAGACATTAAAAAGTATCATAGTAAAAACCTGCAATATTGAGTTAAGTATAAAAACACAAACCAAAACATTTTCACCTGTGAAAGGTTATCCCATTTCTCTTGGAGAATTTAAATCTCGTTGGTTTCACAACCAGAAACTGCGCAATGTTGTGGCATCATTGATTCTTACTGTGAGTGATGACATGCTGACCGTTCCAAGATGGCAGGATGTGTCTGGAGCGGTCGAATATGGAATCTACGTATACATATCTATGGTGTAAATGACAGTGGTGGAAGTGAGTTCATGACTCAAGAAAAAATAAATTCTTCTGTGATGCATTATATTTTTAGTAGATAGATTAAACTGGTTAGCATGTGAAAATTGTTTTAATTGCGTTTACTTTCTACAAAGGGCCAAAACACCCATATATGCACATAAAACTCGCTTTCACATTCTTTCGGAAGATTAAAAAAACATAAAAAATGTTCTTACAATGTTTTCTTCTTCTTTGTGCAGCCTCTCCTACAGATCAGCATTACTACAATGAGAAACAGCAGTTTGCAGACAGTAAGTAATCCATCATCAAACAATTAACCTTCATGTCAATGATCATATTAGCTCATATTAGCTAGAACATTGGTTTGCATGTTTCTAAAGCAAAAGCAACACTCATCTGATTCCTAATTTAAATTTTACTTCAGATGCCTGGAAAATGAAGTGCCCCATTAGAGCAAATCTGACAAATATTAAACATCACTCCATTATCCCTCCACTTCTTCAACCCTCATGAGCCTGATGCAAACATTAATGAAGAAGAATGGAATGAAAAAAATGCTGCATAAGGCTACAGTCACGATGATGGACAATTTGATGACGTTTTATCAAGCTTTTGCACAATAAATAGTAAATAGAACAAGTACAGCCCATTAATGTAGTTTATTATAGGTTTATTTTATTTTAACCTATAATTTATTTTTAGTTTATTTTATCTCTAATTTATGTCTTTTTCACATCAGTTATGATGTTGTCAGTGTTCACTTCCAGTATGGCCAGTGCCTTCCCACTGTGATGCCCAGTTACCTCCTACCCACTCACACTGCTGGTGGGGTAACTCCCGTCGCCCTCGAGAGAAACACAAACACCCTTATCAGGAGACACAGACCCGTCCCCCTCTCGCCCCCGTCCTGCTCATCTCCCATCCCCTCTCCTTCATTTGCATTCATTCATTTCTGCATCATCTTACTCCTAAAAGACAGGAGACATGTCTTAATGGTGTAGAAATAATAATAATAATAATAAATAAAACAGATTGGATTTGATTGCGGAATCTTTATGAAAACAAATAACAGACCTCCTCCATTTCTGTGGGTCCCTGTCCCGGATGAACGTATTAATGCATAAATGCAAACGTATACTCACAGATTGAACTCAGCCGAGAATTCTATTAACGTTTCTTTCTTTTTTTTTCCCCCCTTCGCTGGTTTGCTCCAGAGGGAAACAGGGACTGAGATCTAAGCGGAATTTTGGGGGGCTTTGTGAGCGGAACGAGGCATTTTGGAGTGGCGTATTTAATGTGTTTAATATGTTATGGTAACTTTGAGTTCTTCCCTCGGGTGACTGTGCTAACTCAGGGAGCGCTGATTGAAAAAGACCGCCGCGTTACACTGAATTTAGCCTCTGTTGCGCTATTAGTTAATATTTCGCCTTTAAATCCCTTCTGTCTACAGCATGAAAGAAATAAAAAGTAAAGTAAATATTTTAGCTAATGAAAATAGAGGAATATTTTACACATTAAAAGGAAAAAAGATCAAAGGAAAACATTCATTTTGGAGTTTGATTGGAAAGAAACTCTTTGCAAAGAAAGACTTTTCTGTAAAAAGGGAAAAATTAGCATAAAACTTGAATGCAAATGGGATGAGAGTGAGACTTTATTTAATTTTTAAAACTCACTTTAACATTTAATGAAATATTTGTAAAAATAAAATACAAATGTGAATTTTACCAATAATAATAAAATTATTAAAATGTATGTTAAAATATGAAAATCCACCAAACGAATATTAGTAATTATTATATATTAATATTAATTATACATTTCTTAACTTTTTAAGAATGATTTTATTTCATTTAAAAAAAACTTTATTCTCCTGTTTATTCTTCAGTTTATATATGTCCCATGTTTGCATGTGTTTGTACCCAAATCATCATCAGGATTGAAATGAGAAGATTTCATTCTTGAGCTGTCAGCTCAGATTCATTTGTAGGGTGACCTCAGGTGGAGCTGTATTTCAGGGTCAATCCTCTTCCCCCTTAAAAAACCCACAAACACAAAAACACATTCTTTTGGCTGTCTTTTATTGCTTCTTTTTTGCCTCTGATGACGATGCATTTCATACCTGTGTCCTCTCTTTCTGTCACTCAGGTCGGGGTTACCCATGGTTCCTTAGTAACCGTCGTCCGGAGAAGCTGCGTGATGCCCTAAAGGAACTAGAGGTATTTGTTTACATTTCCTGCAGTCCGATTAACAAATAGGAGCATTCTCTCTCTCTCTCTCTCTCTCTCTCTCTCTCTCTCTCTCTCTCTCTCTCTCTCTCTCTCTCTCTCTCTCTCTCTCTCTCCCCTTTCATAAGGAAAGAGAAAATCCCCCCGACCTCTCTCGCTTGCTCTCGCTCTCTCTCAGCACCTGTGTGGGTGCCTCTCTGTCATCGTGGGGGATATTTGAGGGGATGATTGGGACTGTGAGCTGGCTCTCTCTCTCTGCCTCTGGCTCTCTCACACAAACCTAGCTTTGTTCAGTCCAACTCGGGCTCATTTTTGCTGCCTCTCCGTATCTGAAACTGGAAACATCCTTCTAAACCTGACCCTGAAAACAGGGTCTACTCATTCCTAGTACACATTCTCTGTCTCTCTTTCTCTCAGGAGCTGCTGCAGTCATGCCCCGGTCATAAGTGTCAGATGGAGAAGCAAGCAGTGCTGTCAGGTACCTTACCCAGCATGCACCAGTACCCAGCAGGCATCAGGCCTTCTTGGCATGAGTTGGCTCGTGTAGCAGAGGTCAGGCAATGAGCATATGCAGACTGTTTGTGTCAAATACTCTTGGGGAATTTATATCTGGGATCAAAAAGATTCCCTTCTCAAACACATCACTGTAGCCCAGCGGTTTTCCGTTCAGTGGGGATTCTTCAGCCACATGCACACACATTTTTCGCACCTAAAGTGCTTGATTTAGGCCGTTTTAAAAGGTCAGGGAGATCAAACGTTGTTCGACTTTTTATTTTTATTTAATTTTTTTGGTGGTCAGAGATGGTTTTTTCCTGCCCAGCAGCAGGGTCTGATTGGACGCTGTGACCTTTATCCACTGTTCACATTCTATAGAGATGTAATTCCACCTTATTCCAGACAGAATGTTATCGGGCAGTGATTTTTAAAGGGATAGTTCACCAAAAAAAATTCTGTCATCATTTACAGTACTTGATCCCATTTGATCCCAAGATATTTTGTATCAGCTGTTTTTGTCCATATTATGAAAGTATTATGAAAGTTAATGGGACCCAAAATTTCAAGCTCCAAAAAAGGTGGCTTAAAAGTAATCATCATTTAAAAATGTATTTGGTTAATAACACACATTGATCACAATTAACTACACCTAACATTGAAATTTGTAGTCATAAATACAGTATATTTCACATTGAATCTTCAAATGTCAAAATATTTAAATATTTTAAATATTTAGTTAATGGCACCTTTTAACCTTTATTTTCCCTCTATTCATTTTGTTATTGTTATTATTGTTATTTATGGAGATAAAATGCAATTATAGCCATTCAACATTAGAGTGTAATTAAAAACCAGGCCTAAATTAAAAATGGTCAGATTGTCTTTATCATTTATTAAAAATAAAATGTAAATATTATAACAACTCCTTATTGAATTGAACTCTTAAAAAAAATGTGGGGGAAATACATTAGTTTTGCTGCTTCAGGAATTGAGAAAACAAATATCGTTTTAAATATTTTTAAACATCAAATATTCAGAAATTATAATTATAAGTTATATTTCCAACCTTACCTTGGTGGTTTCATCCAACTCTTCTGAAGCCATACGATCATACTGCAAATGACATTTGATGAACATATCGGTATTTAAAGCCTTTATTCACTCTCAAATCAAAGCATTGATCAACACATACATATACAGACTTCATCAATTATGATGTCACAAACCTCGAACGCTCAACTAATGTCAAACCTCATTGGTTCTCACATGGCTAAACATCATGATGTTTGAGGTTTGTGTCACCATATTTGATTGCATTGAACAGTGTTTTGATTCGGAGCTTGACCAAAACAGCTGAAACTTCCTTCAAAATATTGTCTTTTGTGCTCTACATAGTAAAAAGAAAGGTTTGGAATGACACAAGGATGAATAAATGATGACAGAATATTCATTTGTCCGTGTGAACAATTCCTTTAAATGTATTCTTGTTGTACAGTTGTATTTACGGTCATAAAGTGAATGTGTTCTTGTTCGTTACTGTGTGTGTAGATGCTGTTGAGATCAGGTGTGTTGGTGACCCTTATCCTGGGTGGAGCTCAGGTTGAACGAGTGGCCATTGACAGAACGCTGGTTGGGCGACTACCTGCTGACACCATCAGCGACGGTGAGTAAACGCGTACTCACACGCTACCCCTTCCTCTCTTCTTTTTTCTTTCTCTCCTCTTCTTGTCTCTCTTTGCAGTTTCGCTCACTGCTCATTTTCCCAGCATGGGCCTGGGCGGCACGCACACCCACAGGTCAGGAACGGCAGTCCCTTCTGTTTCTCTTCTTCCGTTACTCCCAGAGGAAGTCCGAAAAGCACGGACACAACCACACACACATACATGTCGAGGTTCCTCCTGAATCTCAGGGGAATCTGCCATGGCTCCCTGTCTTATTTCTGGTTTGTGAAATTGGACACTCTCCCAAATCTGCTAATTATTTTCTCATATCATTTATTGTTTAGAGCTTATATGGCTAAAGCTCTCTGTGCCAGGTCTCTAGATACCTGAGGAACCTCTCTCTCTCTCTCTCTCTCTCTCTCTCTCTCTCCTCTCTCTCTCTCTCTCTCTCTCTCTCTCTCTCTCTCTCTCTCTCTCTCTCTCTCTCTCTCTCTCTCTCTCTCTCTCTCTCTCTCTCTCTCTCTCTCTCTCTCTCTGTTAGCCCACCCCTTCCTTTTTCCTAGTAGCCCCCCATAGAGTGCCATTCAGGCCCCCAGAGCCCCTAATTACCAGAGTAATTATGTGTGTGTGTGTGTGTCTGAGTGAGAGAGAGAGAGTGTAAGGGTGGGGGTGCCAGGAAGGCTTCTGCATCTGTCACTTATTCAGTTAGTTTCACACACGCAGTCAGACCTGTTCTGGCCTTGATTACTTGTTACTTTGTGAGTGATGTAGTACAAAGAGAGAGAACTTTGATTAGTCTGTGATTGTGAAAAACACACTTTTTAAACCAAAATCATCTGTAATGGATCTATAGCTGTTTCATTAGTACAGTCACAGGTTAAGAAGATTTTTAAGACGTATATGGACAGCCAAACAATGATATGAGAGGCATTTGGGAATATTTCATATTTGTAGGAAACTCCCACAGTAATCTTAGGTAAAAACGGCTTAGTATTTTTGAGTCCATTAGTGACGCCTAAAACGTAATGACCTACAATTTAAATATCCACATTATTGAATATTATATATTTTTTTCTTCTAGAAATTAATTTCTCTGCTGGTAAGAGTTTCAGACAGTGATGTAAACATGTTTTAAATGAATGGAGTATTAACTAACTAAGCAGATTTAGGGGAATTTATTGGTTTATTCTGCTAACCCGCTGCTCATATGTTCTAAAACCTGTTTACTAGCCCCTGGACACAAATTTGGATTTTTTTTTTTGGGAAGGATTATCATGGAATCTTCCCATTAATTTGGCCATGATTACTGAACACTAATGCATGTGTATTTTCTCTGAAATGTTTGTAATCTTTTAAAAGCATGTTGAGTATTCCATGTTTTTCTTTTTCTTTTTTTTTCTTTTTCCAAAGGGATAATGTCATTTAATTTGGTAGAGTGTATCATTTACATTTTAGAATTTCCAAATCACTCTTGAGCCTCTCAAAGTACGTGGCTAAGCTAAACACTTTGGTTTAAGCAAAAATGATTCCTTCAAATTCATTCAAAGACATTTATTTTTTAAACACAATACATCAGCATTTTAAGTTAGATTTGTCAAAATTGCAAATTGCAAATGTGTATGTTTTCTTTGTCATTAAAGACTTGCTAAAGTAAAACTTAAAAATGACGCTTAAAAATACTGCATTTAACACACTATTCCTGTGAAATTAGCACCCTGTTTTATGCTTGAATGTGAGATGATTCATAATTACTGCAGAAGCGCTGATATTCCGTCTCTAATTGCTGTTCAGGTTGGAAATTCCAGCCCTGAATATCATCCTCAACTAAACCTGCTTCTCTGAATGGGTTGTATTAATTTTTTTGCCGTTTAATTGGTTTCATAAACAGATTAATTTTTAGGAAGGGAAGGTTAATTGCTAATCACAGTGTGGTGCACAGTTTCACTGCAAATGTCTCTCTTTAACATGAAAGCTGCATACCCTACAGGCTTTACAGTCTCTCTTCTTCTTCTCTCTCTCTCTCTCTCTCTCTCTCTCTATTCTGTGACTCTTAAACTACTACTCTGACTCACTTATGAAAATTGTTCATTATGTGCATTTCTGTGTGTGTGGGTCAGATTTTACTTACATTGTAAGGACCAAATATCCCCACAAGCATAGTAAAACCTGAAATCACCTGCATTGCTTGAACCAGCCAATAGTCAAATATCAGACTTCCATTTGGGAAATTTGGATAAATCGTCCTTTGGAAAAATGATCTGTAACTGAAATAAATAATGTTTTTTTTTAGGCTATGAACAGTGCAAAAAGCTTTTCTGTTTGGGGTATGTTAGGATTTGAGTCAGTCTGTAGTGATTATAATGAGCATTATATTTGAACAATAGAAGTATATAGTATGTCCTCATTTAGATAGCAAAGTAAATGTGTGTGCATGCTATGTCTTCTCACAAGGTCATATGAGTTTTGACCTATGACCTTGCTCTGTGGTTTTCAGCGGTGATTTGCGATCGCTTCCTGCTTTTCTCGCTGATGGAGAGGAGTCAGGTGTGTCAGGTTTACTTGAACAGGAAGAACCAGAGCTCACCTGAACCAGCACGACACATGGAGAAACTCACAGCTGCGGAGATTAAGGTAGCACACACACACCTTTTACACACACATCTATTGAACGCTCGCCCAAAGACATACACTCACACACACATACACTCTTCAATATACACACATTAGCACATTTTAGGAGGAAAGGCAGCACAGGCTCTCCTGCTTTCAATTAAAACGCTTTAATGAGGCTGGTCTGGCTCTTTCCACAGGGCTTTTAACTCTAATAATTGCCTGGCTTTACTTGCTTTCTTTTACCGCTGGGACAGGTAACACTGTGATTACTGGAGCTCTTTTCTAATGCACACCTGTGGGGAACATCACGTCCAAACACACAGCACTTCTCTCTTTATAAAGATATCACATCCTTTATGACAGTACATCTATATATGACTGAGAAATGTTCTTCCCTCTATCTCTAAATTTCTTTCTGTAATTTAACAAAAAATAAATTAAGCATTTTTTTTTTTAAAGGAAAGAGAGTTGCAGATCATTGTGAACGTCCTCTAATAACTGTTATGCATCAAGTAGCCTAAATCTAAAAATGCTTTTTTGAAAACATAACGACATGAAGCAGTTTTTCAGTGTGCACTTTACACACTGTTTTTCCACATTGATAGTACCTGAATAGGAAGAACCAAAATCATTTTTGTATTTTGAGATAAATTAAATTTGGAATATTTATATTTGCATCTTTGCATTTTGGCACATACTTTTGGCTAAAAAGATCAGATATATTTATTAACATATTTTATTTTTGTATGAACCAATAATAAGGTAACAAGATGGGCGTGGTTAGACAATAGACAGGAAAGCACATGGCACAAGGAAACATACATGACAAGCCTTGTGCTTAAACCAAGCATGACAACATGAAAGCACTCAGTTGCGTGCTACACAGCACAAGCCAAAACATGACATGAAAGCACGCAGCTGATGTAAAGATGAACCGTGCTCTACACAAAACACACGTACAGAGGAGCGTACGGCCCGAGCGAACTCGAAACCACACGCTCACACAACAAGACAGAGCGCATGAGAACTAGCGAATACTCATTCCGTGCGCACACAACAGACGACAAACACAGAGCATGAATGTCCGAATCCCGACACAAAACCGAAACCAAACTAGACTAAAAGTGCCACGATCAGAACACCACACTCCGCACACAAAACAACTCACATGGACCGAAGAGCGCACGGATTCGAGTGTGCTCGAGCCGTGCGCTCTTCGGTCCATGTGAGTTGTTTTGTGTGCAGAGTGTGGTGTTCTGATCGCGGCACTTTTTGTCACACAAGACAAGACAATACAGTAGCGTCAGGGCTCTGTCACAAAACCAAGAATAAACTAGACCAAAGTGATAGAACCCTGACACCACCCCTCCCTTACGGCCAATCAGGAACCCCAGCAGACGGCCAGGGCGGGACCGGAGGGACGAACCAGGCATACTCCGTTGCATCTTGAGTCTTAGCAGAGTGCCAGGGCGGTGTCGGAGGAACAGACCAGGCGGGCTCCGGCAGGTCTGGAGTCCTGGCAGACGATCAAGGCAGAGCCGGCTGGGCGGCAGCAAGGGTGGAGCCGGCAGGGCAAGGCGCTTGGGCGGATCTGGAGTGGCCTCCGGACTTTGTGGGGCAGAGGAAGCCTTCTTCCTGGAGTGGAAGTGGGCTCAACCACCTCTGGGTAGGTGGCAGATGAGGCGGACATGTTCTTCCTCCTTCTCCCCGAAGGGGTCATCAGAGAACTGGTAACTTGGCAGTTTGTGAGGGGAATGGGGGGAGGGCCAAGAGGAGGAAGGTTACCTTCTTCTCCACGGTTGTACACCTCATTAAGGCTGTTGTTGAAAATGTCTTTGAGCACTGCGTCGCTGATGTTGTGCCCCTTCGCTACAAACAGTAACTGGTGAGCAAACTCCTTCACACTGGCTCCCCCTTGTCGAAGAGAAAGGAGTTTGCTGTGTTGGTCTGCCATCTGATGAGCGGAAGGGCAGGGAGATGGGAAAAGGAAGATGCCCATTCTCTGCTGAGTCCTCTAGTGGCCAGATTGTTCTGTCAGGTTTGGGGGTGATGAAAGGAGCGAGTACTCGATGCAGATTAACAGACTTTTATTTTGATAAAAAATCTAACTAAAACAAACAAAAACTACCCCGAAGGGGAAGACTTGACTTGACTTGACTGCAGTGAAACACACGAGGAGGAGGTAAACATCGTGCATGTTCAACAATGATCTGGCACAGGACTGCAAACACAAGGAGAATAAGTAGGGAGCAAACAAAGCAGGTAACGCGGGTGGGGCAGATGAACCAATAAATCAAACATAAGCAGGGTAAGACAATAGAGAGGAGAGCACATGGCACAAGGAAACATACATGACAAGCCATGTACTTACACCAAACATGACTAAAACACAAGCACATGGCCAGTGAAAAGAATCACAAGCCATGTACGCACACAAAACGAGACATGAACACGCAGCTAATGAGAACACTTATAAGCTGCTTGTTCACACAAAACATGACAACATGAAAACACAAAATGTAACAACACATGCGGACAGAAGAGCGTACGGCCCGAGCGAACTTGAAACCGTGCATTCAGACAACAAGACAGAGTGCACGAGAATTAGCGGATATTTATTCTGTGCGCTCACAGCAGACGACAAACACACAGAGCATGAATGTCCGAATCCCGACACAAAACCGAAACCAAACTAGATCGAAGTACCGCGATCAGAACACCACGCTCCGCACACAAAACAACTCGCATGGACCGAAGAGCGCACGGCTCGGGCACACTCGAATCCGCGCGCTCACACAAGACAAGACAATACAGTAGCGTCAGGGCTCTGTCACAAAACCAAGAATAAACTATACTGAAGTGACAGAACCCTGACACTATCTATAATAAAATGTGACCATTATTATCGTTTTGTAAAATTGGTCACAGCCATGTAGTTTGACGCTAGCAGAGCAGTGGTGTAGAGGTCGGAGGGTGGGGTCAAGTCCATCTTTTCCTTTTCAGAGGAAATGAAGGTGATCACTCCATTCTTTATCCCTCATCCCATTCATTCTCTGGCTTTCCAAAGCAACTTGTCTAAAAATTCATAACAGTATTTAAGAAGAAAAAAATCTTTATTCGTCGTCTTTTTGAAAGCATTAACCTCATTTTAATGGGCCGGAGACCAAGTGTGCGGAGATCACAATTTGGATGGGTCTGATTATGGACTAAACACAATACATAAATACATCAGGCTCTTAACACCCTCCGCACCCGAACATTATCGCATTACTGGAGCGCTTTGTTGCGATGGCAGCCTGAGTATGAAAGCAATCTCTCCTGCGGTGTGGCTGGCTCCAGCAGCATGGCTCTGATAAGGGGGGACCATACGCCCCCCCCCCCCAAACCCTGTCCTCCCTCCCCGACACCACCCCCCGCCCACCACATCCCCCATCCCAGCCCGGCCGGCCCCATCCACTGCCTGCTCCACTGGACTAAGCTTTGAGCCTAATCCTCCAGAAAGAGGGTCTGATTATTGCTGACCAGCAAGCACAGGCAAGATGGGGAATCAAGTTTTGGGGGAGGGCAGAAAGAGACAGTGAGAGATGAATGTTATTTTCCCACAGTCTGTATTGGTTTATTTTGTTTTTGTTTGTTTATTAATCTTATATAAATTATTTTCATGGTGGATGATACTTAACATGCGCGATTAGTCTTTACAGGCGCAATGTGAAGGTCAAGGTTAAATGAAGAACAGTTTTTGTTGTCATGGGTAGACTGTAGTACATTTCTAGTCCTCCCTATTGTGCACAGATAGAGTTGTTGACATAAAGAGAGACTCAGTGTTTGCTCTCTTGATAAGGCCTTTCAGAATGAAGTATATGGAAATGACTGCTATTATGTTGCATGAATAGGCACTGACTCTATAAGAGCCATATCGTATTTTCATGCCATTTATTCGTACTATTGGCTGCATTGAGGGTCTGCTTTAAATCCTCGACCCAGAACTGCTGAAATGGCACATGATGAGCCGTTGCAGATATGAGATAGAGTTTAATGTAGCGGCATGAGACAGTGGCGCGGTGTAGGAGAGAATATTGCTCCATACTGCACTTTTATTGCAGTCCCATAAACAGATAGTGGATTTAATGCCCTTTCAAAGGAACTAGTTATAAATACATCAATTATTATGTCTACGTTGAGGCTAGACAGTCTTGAGTGATTAAAGCTTTTTGTGCATCAGCCAAACAGCAGGTGTGTCTCAATCAGGTGCGGCTCATTTTAATGAAATTTGGTAGTCAGACTTAGTCAGCAGCAAAACACTGGCCTTTGCTTCATTAGAAACCTGTAATTTTGGGTGGTTTTGGATTGATCTGTGCTGCATATATCTTGTATCTTAGATTCTGAGGTATATGAGTATGTCATTTGATTTAATTTATTCAAAACTATGTCACTATGGTAAGCCTACTGTAAAAGTTTAAATTCAGAGCTGTCAGGTTTGATTTGTTGGGAAATATTAGGCTTCCGTCATTTGTGGTTGTGTGTTTCCCAAAGGAAAGACAAGAAGGTTCAAATATTATAGCGGCTGATATGCTACTTACTTGCTCAGATGACATGTTTTTCAGAGAGACTGATTTCTTATTGTAAGTGATCTTGGCTTAGATGTTTCTTGTGGAAGCCCATTTCCACCTCTAAGTTAAAATAATAATATAAAATGTTTTAATATAATTAAATATGATATTTTTTCAAAATGTGAGATACAGTTAAAAAAAAAGCAATTATTATGTAGTAAGTACACTACGTTTTGTAAGCAAGTTTGTAAGTACATGTAGTTGTACATGTACATGTGGTTACTTAATATTACTCACTACTTAAATGTATAATTACAGTGTAACAAAGACACCTCAAAATAAAGTGTAACCGGTTTTTCCATAGGATTTTCCTTTTTTTCTTTCCGAATCCAGTTCATTCCTGCCACTGTGGTTTATGACAGTGAAAGCATCTAGAGATCTTATTAGCAGTCATACAAATACCTTGTTACCTTCAAACATCTCGCCAAGTGCAGAACAAATGCAACTAATTCAAATGAATCTAATAAAAACCCCAACAAAAAATAACAATGCCCTGCTACCTGAAACAGCTCAGGCCACATTAATAAAGCAGCACGCAGCTGTAATGTGTTATGCAGAGGAGTTGAGGCTATGTTTTATACATGTTTTGTTTTCATTCCTTTACGGTTTTTGTTCTTCCGTAGGTTTCAGTGGTGGACTTACCTGGCGGGGGACGCCGCGTGGAGCGCCACATGGGTCTGAACCGGACGCAGGATGTGGCCGTGTGCTGGTGGCCGCTCTGTAACGAGGAGGTTAGGCCTTGGTCTCCCATCCCTCGGGCAGCGGACAGGGCCAACCTAGTGCTGCTCGCCTGCTCGGATACCCCGGGGCTTACGGTAAGCAGACACTCACATGGCTTCAGGGTTGGCCTTTTATCCCTTCCTAAACTAATATTTTTTGGTTAGAAATATGTGAGATAAATTATGTGAGAGTGAGATTTTGGAAAAACTCGAAGGTCAGATAAAAACCGGAGTGTGACCTCCTAAATAATATAAATACTTTTAATACAGCCCTCACAATGCTCCATTGCTCAAGGTTTTGGAAAGATTCTCAATCCCTTTTTCACCCCAGTCTTTTCGTCCCGTTGTACCTTTCTTTTTTCTCTTTTGTCATGCTTTACCAATCACCATTGTATTTCTCAATGAGGTGCTGTAACTCACAGACTGTTCACTTGAACTTTTTCTTTACGTGAACAGCCAACCTTTGACCTTCCTGTGTAGCTGACACTCTTTCATTGTACAATGTATTTTGCTCTCCAGTGAATGTGCAGTTATGCAACAGCTACACAGCGAATGTTTTTTTGATTCAAAAAATATTAAGCGTATAGAATAGAATTACACGCATTAATCTATCATCCCTTTTAAACGTACCACTCATTTTATGCTTGCGTCACTCTGGATAGCATGCCTTGGACTTACTGATGTCTAGCAATATCAAATACAGCATCATGCATGTTTTCAGAATCAGTCATGATTTATTTATTCATTACTATATATATAATTTTTTTGTTGTTGAGTAATCCAAGTTTCATTATTTAATTAAAAAGTGACTCGTATTCCATGCAGTGATTAAAATACTTTTAAAGCTTTTATTAGGCTATTGATATGACCAGAGTATTTGTCTCAAAAGTACTATTCTTTTTTTGTGTAAAACTTTTTTAATGAGAAAAAAAAGAGTAGCTCTCAAGAACCACTTATAAGACTGTCTGTCCACTTCTCCATCTCTCCATTTCTACTGTACATTCCTTCTTTTTCTTGCCTCTCAGCGCTGTTTAATATTGAATGGCTTAAACTCTCAACGTTGCTCTCTGGTTTTAAACATATGCAAAATCTTCACTCGCAGAGCAGGGAATGAGAGAGACGAAGTGGCGTTTCCAATTGCAAATGCACCAAATGAAAACAAACAAGGGGTGGAAAAATGCTAGTGGAGCGACGCTGGATTGCTCTGTTTGGAAATGAACCCTGGATTTATCCTGGGCCTTCACCACTTTCTCTTTTCCCCTCTGTCTCTCTCTCTCTCATTTTTCTACGGTAAAAAAACATTAAAGTGTCTCTCGCCTTCATCGTTTCTAATTAAAGTGTTTGTTGTCATTTTCAGATCCGTGGTGTGAAATCAAGCTAGCAGTTTATGTAAGACGCGAGCGGTGAATCAAACGGTTCGCTCGGCGCACAGACACACACTTCAATCAATTCTGCCTCATATATATGTTCCCTTTGTTAAGTTTGCTATCTGCATGCTAAACCCATTTTCTGCTTAGTCTTCAGCATTTAAAAAGTACGCTTTCTTTCCCTATGTGGTCTTAATTCTTACCCCTCGCAGATAAGCACTGCCAAGAGACACACCGGGAAAAACACTCGTGCACACACACTTATTTATGCAAACGTTTAACATTTTTAATCAATTCCCCTGTTCCTGGAATTTAACGATTTTAATAAAAAGAATTTTTATAAATACACTTCCCTTATTTTGCATGTTAAGGTGGTTGTTATGTTTTCAGTAAGCATTTGATATCTCTCTCTTTTTTCCCTTTTTTGATAGTTGTTTTGCATATTGAGGTGGTTGTTGTTATGTTTTCCGTGCGCATTAGATGTTGTTGAATATCCTGTTATCTCTCTCAGAACACTTCTCTTCATTTGTTTGATCTGCATATTTACCATGCGTCTGTACTCTATTTACAAATTGCCACATTTCTTATGTCTTCAACCAAATGCATATTATGCTTTTCACCCAATGTGGAATGATAGCAGAATAGGATAGTTTTACAGTTTTAAGGCTTTTTTAAATTACTCCAGACATCACACATGAACCATGGAGTCAGTGACTTTATGTCGGTGTACTTTTTTTAAAGGAATTTCTTGAGGAAATTTTGTGGCCGCAAATGGTTAAACTATCCTAAAAGAAAAAATAAATTGTGATAAAACCATGAAAAAGTCATAAGTATATGTTTTTATGTGTTTTGTTTGTTTTGTCAGTGTTCAATTTGATAATGATCCTAACGGAATTGCTCATAACAATTTCTTCAAAGCTTGCGGTTGGTAATACTTTTTAAGTACAGTAAAAACAGTAATATTGTGAATTATTATTATTATTATTATTACAATTCAAAATAACTGTCTTCTATTTTAATATATTTTAAAATATAATTTACTCCTGTGATGACAAAGCTGAATTATCAGCATCAATACTCCAGTCATCCTCAATCCACAAATAAATCATTTTAATGTGCTGATTTGCTGCTTAAGAAATATTTCTTATTTTTATTAATGTTGAAAACATTTGTGCTGTTAATATTTTGTGAAAACAGTAAAACATTTTTCAGGATTATTTGGTGAATCGAAAGTTCAAAACAACAGCATTTATTTGAACTAGAAATCTTTTGTAACATTGTAAATGTCTTGAGTGTCAGTGTTCTTGAGTGTTCAGAATCCTTACTGAATGAAAGTATTCATTTAAAAGAATTAAAATCTTATCTCCAAACTTTTGAATGGTCAGCAGCATCCCTGTTTTGACACAGCCCCCTCTTTTACTTTTTACTTTTTGACTGAGCTATTTGTCCTTCTGCTGAATTTATTCTCCTTATTTTTGGATTTGGATTTAATTTATTCCTTATTCAGTGACTTTGTCAGCGTTGATTTGATTCTAGAAGGCTCATGTGGAATGGTTTCAATCTCTGTCATTTTTCCGTGCATGGCTGCTGTTATGATTCCAGGGCATGTTATATATGAAGAGAAAAGGTCCGAGTGGAATGTGATTTCCCGGGTTAAATTCTTGGGCATGTGCAGGTGCAGTAGAGCGAATGCTTCTGTGTTGATTTCATGCCACAGCGGCCTGACAAGCATCTGAGTAGCACACACACACTTACACACACCAGAAGAGCGGAGACTCAGCAGCAAGAACTTTCATAGATTGCCTTCATCATCATCTCCCTTTCTCTCTCTCTCTCTCTCTCTCTCTCTCTCTCTCTCTCTCTCTCTCTCTCTCTCTCTCTCTCTCTCTCTCTCTCTCTCTCTCTCTCTCTCACTGTCCCACTGTCCCCCTCTCTCTCTCCCTCTCTCTCACTGTTTGCTCTCTGAGCTGGAAAATTGGCTCAAAGAGCTCTACTGCTGTGAACAAGGCCTGCTGCTCAGCTGGACCTCTTTGGGTTTATCTTTCAAGCTGCAAAAGAAAGTCCAGAGAAGAGAAGAAAAGAAAAGAATAGTTTTGACCAGTGACTGAAACCAATAACTAACAGAGACTCACTTACCACTGTTCTCTCTCTCTCTCTTTCTCGCTCTCCTTTGCACCGCCCCCCCACCCACCCAACCTCCCCAACTCACCAACTCACCAAGATGCCGTTTGTCTTTGTGAAATTGAATCTGTCATTGTTTCAGCAGCAGCTGTGGGATTTGCAATGTTTGTGTGTGTGTGTGTGTGTGTGTGTGTGTGAATGCAGGTCTTAAGAAGGATCACTCTGTGAAGATGTTAAAACCTTTGTGGCGGGTGGGAGAAAGACACTCAAAATGTCCCCCAGTGCTGAGGCAAACACACTGCCTCTCAACCAGCTCTCCTTTATTTCTTCACCTTTTTGTTTTTGTTTCGTGTTACCGTGGCAAAGAGCTTAGCGCTTTCTCTCTGTGGCTATCCGTTACTACTAAACCGGATAAACAAGTGTGAGGATTGTGCAATTTCTCTGTAGTTCCTGATGGCACTTGTGGTCCGCGATTTTACACGCACAACAGTATTCAAGGGTTATAGCGTTTAAATGTGTATTATTAGCCAGAAGAGCATCTGTAGCACTACCTAGCATGGTATTAGCAAAGCATTAGCCTCACAAGGTCACATATTCTGGCCAGAGCAGTGAGCTGACCACCTTAAAATGGCCCAGAAAGGTGTTCAACCTAGCCATAGCTAGTTTTTTACTAGCTTAGTGCTAGCAGGGTCAGAATTATCGTAGTATTAGCCAAAGCAGTTGGGGCGTTGGTCTTTTGCTAGCATGGTCAGTGGGGTGTTGGTTCTGAGCCCGGGCCCAGCTGTGGACAGGCCCAGAGTGGGGGCCTCTGTGGCTGGGGCAGGTGTGTCTCAGCGGGGCCTGGCTCTGTAGAGATCTGGCACTGTTCCGGATCTCCCCTCTGTGCTGTCAGCAACTCCTCTCCCGCCCTCTCACTAAACCCCTCTCACCCCCTGGGGTGCAGCGGGAGTTGGCCCAGGGGGGATTACAGCTAAAAAAAAAGACAAAAAAACTCATCCCCTGCTTTCACAGAAACCATCGGCAACCCGCTTAACTCAGTCTCCTACGCTGGCGCGCACGCCACGGTTCTGTGCCAGCCCATCGCTCTCAGTCTCTCTCTCACCACACCATCTGCACCAGAAACACACATACTACAGGTAAACCCGAACTTCCTGCGTGCTGCTGTCTGATAGGACATTTTTTAAGCTGTTTGTGTGCACATTTTGAGGTAAAATCTCCAAACAAATTTGCTCAACATCTGTGTTGGGCCTGTGATTTCTACTGTCTCAGGGATGGAGGAGCCCATGTTGAATATTTACTTTTGCAAACTTCTGGCCTCCCTGTGTTTTTTCAAGGCTGTCTATGTCTTTCTTTTTTTTTTTTTTTTTTTTTTTTTTTAATCGTAATGAGTTGTTACTTTTCACGTTTATAAGTTGGAAATATAATTTAGTCACCCATTTTCTACAATTTTTTATTCTTTAGAATCGTGGCGTAGGCAGTGCACATGCTTCGACACATTGAACTGTCGGACTCAAAGCTTTTTTTAATGTAATTGATTATAATTAAAATTTTAAGATGATTCATTCACCATTTCACTTTAATTACATATTATGCATAACTTTTCTAAGACTTTTTTGGATGAAAGGCAAAGAGGTTGCTCAAATTGAGTTTTGAATTTGAATCTGACTCATTACCTGATCCCTTTACCTCTCTTCTCATTACTTCCTTTTCCTTTTCTCCTCCTTATTTCCTATTCTTTTCTGAACTATACTACTACACACCATACATACAATTTTAATTTAGAAAAAAATATAGATTGTAATTTAAAGTCGCAGATACAAGTATATGTATTTACAATGAATTTCTGCATACATTGGTCATAAAATCTTATCTGTCTGTTGTGACAGATGAGGGTAAAAGTATGTGAACCCTTGGTTTCAGCAGAAATTACCAGGCATGCACAACCAATTTATAAAGAAATTCAAACAGTAAATCCAAGGGTTCATATACTTTTTCCAAAACAATACTTGCATAACTATTAAATGAAATACTTAACTTTTGACTTTGTTTCTCTCTGTGTAGGTTTTGAGCTCTGTCCGAACTGACGGAAACCCTATTGACTGCAGATTTAGTCTGACCCAACCCTACCATGTCCTGACTGTGGAGCTACACCAAGAGGCCAAACACTCCACGTCTGAGCTGCATGAGGAGGCCCAGCCTCCCGATGTCCAAACTTGTGTGTATGAATCTGCTCATGGACGTCTCCAGCGTCTGTCCGGCACTCCTCTATCCCTCAAATCCAAACCCATAACCTGTAGTCGTGACCCGTTGGAGCGCTGGGTTCTCTTGGGGCTTCAGGACTGCTCGGTGGTACTTTTCGACCCACAGACTGGCCTCTCCCAGTGGGCCACCTGCTCCATGGTGCCGGCGATGCTAGCTTGGCATCCTTCAGGAGCTCTGCTGATGGTGGGCGGAGGTCAAGGCGAGCTCCAGTGCTTTGATATGGGGCTCTCGCCTCTCCCTCTGCGGTTAGTGAGTGAAGAACCAGTCCCCAGCTCTGGAGGCCCCAGCCTGCAGCTGTCTCGCCACATGAAAACCTCAGAGGGGCTAGAAGGGATCCAATGGGCCTACTGTCCGATATCCCAGGGAAACGAGGGTCTGGAGGCACATGATTTACTGCTGCTTCAATTTCATGGAGGGCCACTTGCTGTTCTGAAGCTAAGACTGGGTCAGTGGGACCTTTGTGTAATTGATTAAAATCAAAGTAGAGCATTTCAAGTCTAGCACTAAAGGGTCTTGAACGTGATTATATTTATATAGCCAGGAGACTTAAAACACAAACTCTTCTAAAATGGCCTTAAATACAGTAATTTAAATACAGTATGGTTAACTCCAAAGTCACATATGTTGGAACTTATGCCAGAGAGAATTTACACTACACGTTTACACAAAAGTTTCAAAGGTTTGAGGTCAGTAAGATTTTTTTATTATTATTCAGCAATGATGCATTACCATTGATCAAAAGTGACAGTAAAGACATTTATAATGTTACAAAAATGTTCTACTTCAGATAAATACTGCTCTTTTAAACTTTCTATTCATGTGAATCTGAAGACTGATGAAAATTCAGCTATGCCATCACAGGAATAAATTACATTTTAAAATATATTAAAATACAAAATGGTTATTTTAAATTCTAATAATATTTCACAATATTACTGTTTTACTGTATTTTTGATCAAATAAATGTAGCCTTAGTGAGCATAAGAGATTCCTTTCAAAAATATGAAAGCATCTTACCGACCCCAGACTTTTGAATGGTAGTGTATTTTAAATAAATATTTAATTTAATTCGTTTCAATAACAGGGCATGGCAGCATACAGTAAAACTGGTCCACATTGCATCTTATTTTGGCTAAAAACTGCCCACATAAACTGCAAAATAACTTATGACTGACATGTACAGTTTAGCAACAAGTCACAGTTCAAGTTGGTTAGTCAAGTTAAGTTACCTTTATTTTTAAAGCACTTTATAAAATAAAAACAGTTTCAAATCAGGGAAGTAACAGAATTATGTTACTGTTAATTTTTGCAAACTTTATCAAATTAGAGACGGATTTAAATTCTGCTGTAAAGCAGCTGTACCAAGGTAGTAATGTGATTATTTAGCTCAATTTAGTTCAGTGATCAATTCGTTATGGATGAACTGGTTAGGGATTTAAATGAAATAGTTGATACCACAGTAATAGACTGACGTGGTAAAAATCATGCATAGTCTGTGTGTATTCTGAATTTGAGTACTGATTACTTCATAGACATAAGAAAACAAAAATGATTGCACAGTCCTGATCTTTGTAGTTTATTTTCTACTAAGTGGCACAAATGCAAAACTTTTCTTACGAATTTTTTGGTAAAAAATGGCGCAGCGGTCAGTGCACATTCAACACATTGAGCTGTGGTGCTCAAATGGGTGACACATTTGAATCCCGATTCCTATCCTCTTCCCAGTTGCAGGAAAACAGTACATGCGTACATAGATATCTAGTTTTCTTGTTACTAAGTTCTCCAATAAAACTCAGAATATCTTTCAAAGATTTTATGTCACAATCCTCGCACACTTTGGCAAATCCAGTGATTAGTTCTTCCAAAAGTGAGCAACCCGGTATCTTGTTTGGGACATAAAGTCAGCCGATCAAGTAAGAGCTTGCCCGATCAAGAGAGTGTGTGCTGTTATTGTTTGTAATATGCATGAGAGTGTGGTTGTAGCATCTGAAATTGTGTTCATTGTAGAAGACATTTGAGGTAATGGCAGAGGCAGGGGCCAAGTCTTCTGAGGTCACTCAATACCCACCCTTGGGCTGCCACCTCCAGGTGCATTCTGGGATGCATTTCTCCGATAAATCATTTACAGTGGCTTACGGTCCCTCCAGGCACCAGATAAAGTTTGCCAATCAAAACCTGCCCATGCCTAGAGTTTAATTTTGACTTTGGAAGTGAATGTGACTCCCAGCGACTCAGTCAAAGTTTTAAATGGAGAGCGTCAGCAAGAGAAAGAGTTTTCTACGAGAGAGAGGTAGAAAGCAAGGGAGGGTGGAAGGGAGAGAGAGCTGCAGCAGTTCCCTCTCCTCTGATCGTGTGCCAAGGTTTTGATGAAGAAAGCAAACGCACATCCTTTCCGGCTGATAATTTGGAGCAGCAAGTGAGCAGAGCTTGTTTGCCCGTTTGTCTATTTATTTGTTTGTAAACGTGTTCGTTGGGCTTGTCTTGCTCACGCGCCCATATTTATTGACTTATATCTCCAAAACTGCTACATGATGAAGTGAGTGAATCGGACGCACAGAAGATGAAAGAGTTGGCAGACCTCCAGTCTTCCCAAGGAAGCAGCTCTTTTTCTTTCACTCACCCTCCCTTCTTTTTTTCCTCTCCTCCCTGAGTTATCTCATCTGGGCACGCGCTCGGCACAGGAGAGCTGCTGTACGGAGTGGATACGGGGGGCAGCTGGCCGGCACACTCTGAGAAAGTGAAAAAAAAAGTGAGTGAGGGAGAAACAAGATTAATTTAAAGGAGAGGAATTTGCACAGCATTGCAGTTTAGAGGCCTTTGGTTGCATCACATAGGACACCCCGTTTGTTTTGGTTGGGCCAGATTATGCAGATTGTTAACACTTTCAATTAAATGAATCAGTGGGGTCTTTTTTAACCACTTAACCACAATTAGAAGACCAAGAAAAACAGCTTCAATTGAAGTCGAAATTATTTTTTGTTTTCTATCACAATCGGCAATGAATTAAGACGTCTCATAACTGAAAGTCACCTAACTGTTATTTCAAGCTTTTTTTACTGGACAGAACAGTTACATTTTAAAACAAACAAACAAAAAAAACATTTTCCACTAGATTCATTTCCACATTTAAAATTTGTTTCCCATTCATTTCCAATGCCATTTCATTTTTGAATGAAAGTCAGGAAAAACAAGCAAACTATTTTTTTTAAAGTATATATATATAACTAAAAACAAACTAAACCTGTGGACTCCTCCTCCTCCTCCTTAGTGTGATGTTTGTCAGCTTAATCACAGGCCTAGGGAGAAAGTTAATCCTTTTAAATTTTCAATTTGATGTATATGTGTGCTATAAACAGCATCTTTGTGTTATTGTGAGTCTCTGCAGCTCTTCTGTGTCTGTGCTGACGTCTGTCATTTCTTTCTACACTGTTATTAGTCACATTAGTTGCTCTTCAGGGGCTTGTGGGAGGCGGCCTGTTAATTTCCCACATGCAGTTTTAATTGGACCCTCCCCGACCTCTTTTCTAAATTCACTTACAAAAAAAATGGTGGCGTCATTTCATTTGCCGCAAAATGGCGCCTCCTTCTGCTCTCAGCGTCCACGGGAGGGGATTTCTGTCTGAGAGGAGAGTTAGAAACAAAAAGAGATAAAAAACAGAGTCATTTGCTTTTCTTTGCTGTTATATGTGTGTGTTCCTGTAAGACTGCTCTTGATGGGTTGTTTTATTCATAGGCAACATATATCTGTGTTTGTCAATGTTTTATTTGCATGTGGTTTTTTGTTGCTGTACTGATGGTCTCCTGTTGAGAAGCGAGCAAGGTTAAGGGTAGCAGCGATGGAGTGTGCCGTTCAGAAGCAGATCCAGTATGGTTGGATTAAGCTCTATTACATTATTAAAGGCGCCTTTACGGGTGTCAACTGCCTCAGGTGATTACTGCTCATTGTGATCACAGACGCTAACGTTCACAGAAAGTTAGCAAGAGAAACAGACAGATGAAAGAAAGGAATAGAAAGATGTGTCTGAGAGAGAAGAGACAGGAATGAAAGAAAGAGTGTGGAGCAGATACTTAAGCATGAGTGTGTGAAATGAAATGTTAGAGAAAGTTGGAGTAGTTAGGCCTATGAAATGCTCACGATGCACTATGAAATCTGAACCTACTGTAAAATCAGCACAAACCTGTAGATCTTAAAGATACTAGCTGATAATGTAACAACAGTAACAAAAAAGTACAATGTAGTGCCCAAAAATCATTTTACCATTATAAATAGCATTTCTTTTAGGAAAATATTTTAAGAAAATCTTAAAAAAAATCTTAATTTTCTTAATGAAAAAGTTTACTATAATTCAATTTACTTTTTGTTTTTGCAAAATATTACTGATTTGACTAGATAACATCATTTTAGTGACATTTAAATCAGCACAATTTAACAACAATGTTCAACACAACACAGCAATCAACACGTTGCATAAATATATTTGTGAAAAGACAGCACTACTTGATAGAGCAGTTCAACTAAACCAAAACACATCCTTACTGCAAACCTTGTTTTTTTTTTTACTATAATTCTTAGAATTACTTTGTAGTTCTATGTAAATACCATGGCACATACATATGATATTTAATACCATGATTAAACACTACCGTTCAAAAGTTTGAAGTCAGTAAATCAGCATATTAGAATGATTTCTGAAGGATCATGTGACACTGAAGACTGGAGTAATGATGCTGAAAAGTCAGCTTTGTCATTTCAGGAATATAAAAAATATTTGTTATTTGCTATAATATTATAGCAGTGATCAAATAAACGCAGCTTTGGTGAGCATAAGAGACTACTTTCAAAAACATGACAAAAAATCGTAGCGACATCATAATCATGTTGTAAAATTAGTGTTTATTTGCCTTCTCATTTCACCGCCTTCTCCCTTCTCACTATATAACTGTATTGATATCAGCTGTTAAAAAATCCATATCAGTTGACCAATAATTTATGCATTCAGATCAGTTTGAAGAAAACTCATCTGTTTGACCCTTTTGGGATTAAAATGGTGTTTGATTGTCTTGCCAGTAAATGCACGTTTGAGAAGCTTTGTAAACAGAATGTACATCCATTAGCTCAATGTCCGTTCAGCTGCTCTCACTATCCCTCTCTGATTGATTCTCTGCTGTATGTGGCTTTTTTTTTTAAAGCATCCGTTGTTCCTTCTAAACGAGGACATTTTATTAATATTGATTTTAATTGGTATCTCAAAATGATGTCCTTTTGTGCCTTTCCCTAGGCACACTGGCTTGAACTGCTGTGCACTTGAATGAATGTACAGAGGAGTACAATGGCTGATGTCAAGATTTTCAACTTCATAATACTTTACATTGTTTCTCGCTGAACTCCATCATATGCCTTCAGAATACTTGGAATATATGGCACAAGTTGCATGGAATTATTTTATGAGATGTTTGCATCCTCTTTAGAAAAAGACTTCATGAAAGTCACCTTTCTCTGCCATTAAATGCACAAGCGTGATCATTTGTCTATTTTTTTTTCCATTTCATTTTAATTGAGTAATCTTGCTTTTTTTTTAGACTCTTAAAAGGTAAGAGCTGACTTCTTCTTTTTTTTCATTCATTCATATACCAGCAGCTGCCTATTATCTGCCAGGTTATTTTTTATTTATTTTTTAATTGGCTGGTGTTGGTTAATGTTGTCTTCTGTTGTTCTACACTTAATTTAATTGATATTGCCATGTGATGTTGTTAGAGTGGATGGCATCACCTGAACTTGCCACACCTTGAATCTTATAATTCTCTAAACTAACTGACCGCAGTATCTACACCAACGGGTACGTTTAACCTGAATCGACTGCATTTGCTGTGTGTGTCAGCTCAACACACACACACACACACACACACACACACACACACACACACACACACACACACACACACACACACACACACACACACACACACACACACACACACACACACACACACACCTTTCAACTGTGCTACAGGGAAAGAGCACAGACTGAAGATCGATCCAAATGTCAATGGCAATCTTACAGTGCGCCGCCCGCCTCTAAAGATCTCCAACCTCATACGATCCAGTGCTTGCACAATCTCTCTCTTTCTCTGTTACTTGTAATTGTGAAATTTTATTTGAAATTATTTTTGCCTTTTTTGTGATTTTTATAGTATATTAAAAGGAAATTATGTAGACAAGAGTGAGGGAAAGTGATTGGGAAACATGGCTTAATGTGCCAGAGCATGACAGTTGCCATTGCAGTGCCATTGAAAGTGATTTTGGAGAAAGTTTGCTTTTGTCATGTATTTTATATATGTCATGTCATAACCATGTAGCCACTTAATAATAAACAAAAACAGTATTTGTTCTATGTACAGGTGTGTTTAATGGTGCTCAGCTAGGCCCAGGCGATCTGGTACATGACCGTTTGCGCTGTGAGGAGGTGGATGCAGCACTGGGAATTCTGGGTAATATGGACTGGGCCATGATGGGAGCAGAGTGTTACAGGTCACTCATCTCCATCACAGATCACCTGCTGAGAAAACCACTGGACCAGGAGACTGAAGGTAAAGACTCCAGACCCTACAGGCTTTGATTTCTGTACAGAGACTAAACTAAGTGCACAATAAACACTTAGAATCAAAAAGGTCTTTACGCTTTAAAATAACACTATTTAAATCACGTTATGTGCTCTGGTGCTTAGAGTGAAATACAAGCAGGACAATGGAGCACAAAACCATGTTTTGATGGATTGAGAATATACTGACTGTGGCCCCAAAAATATTTGGACCACTTGTAAAATATCAACAATTTATCAAATCAAGTGGCATTGTTTTAAATGAATCATTGTTTGTTCAGAATTTTGAACACACTTTTCTAGTAAAACATTAGTAAAACAAGTTAAAAAATATATATATTATTAATTGTATTATCATAATTAAAAAAAATGAAACCACACACACATACATACAGTATTTTAAGTATTAAAAATGAAAAATTAATTAAAAAGTTTAAAACACTGGTTGTCAAAAGTTAGTGGTTCTTCATCATCATTCATAGCTAATGTGATGAACTAAATGAATCCACTGCAAGTCACTTTGTCACCACCTGGTTAAACGTAACTGAAAAATGACTCATCATTTGTTTGCAGATTCCACCTTTTTGATGTTTTGTATATAATTTAATGAAAAACGTTTGGGGCCACTGAATATCCATATTTGATCCTGATGTGTGTGATTGCAGGTCAGTTGGAAGCGGCGCTGGGGCTGTTTTACACTCCCTGCAGACCCCTCTCAAACACTGTCATACTGGAGTACAGAGACCCCATCAGCAGATACGCCCGGCGATTCTTCCATCACCTGCTCAGGTACACACATAACACACACTCTACATACTGTTCACCACACCTACTGCATGTAATGGTGTGTGTTCCAGATTGGAATGGTTTAATGTATCCTCTTCAATTAAAATAATCATTAAATAAAAATCACCATTCAGTCAGGTGTTCAGAAATGGCTATTTAATACTTCTGACTTTACTCTTCCAGACACCAGCGGTTTGAAAACGCCTTCTTGCTGGCTGTAGATATCGGAGCTAGAGATCTGTTCATGGTGAGCACACACTTTCAGACATGCACATACTGCCACAACTGCCCCGAATTGTACTTGGACTCTTGCAGGGATTCCCAAACCTTTTTTATCAGCCAAACCTGTAAATAATAATCTTTAAATCATTTAATTTTCGCAGTTCTCTGATGTTAGTTAATGTTCACATGACATGCAGGTAAACAAATAAACTATTTTATCTTTTGTTTTGTTTTAAGTATTTTTGTTTCATTTTAAAATGATTTATTCATTTTAATTTTATGTTTTTATGATTGTTTTAATTATTAGATTTTCATCAACTCACAAACACCCTGCAGTTCCCTCACAAACCCCAGATTGGGAAACCCTGCATTAGACAACCATAAATCAGACCAAGTAGTTTTTTTTTAAAAGAAAAAAGACACAATCACATTTTTCTAGCAAAATATTTCTCAAAGAGATGTTCTGCATTGTAAAACTGTAGATACACTGTTCTAAATGAAGACTTTCTGATTTTCAGATGTACATTTGTTAAGACTTGCCTATAAAATTACCCTGGTTAAAATTTTATATTTTGTATCTCATGAAATTCATACATTATAATTGTGACTTAAGTGTCCAAGTGCAAATCTTTTGTGGAAAAAATTTGTAACAAAATATACACTACATTCAAAAGGTTCAGTGAAGAAATTAATCCTTTTATTTAGCTAGAACACATTAAATTGAACACATTAAACAATAAAGACATTATAATATTACAATGTTCTTTGTATTCATCGAAGAATCCTGGAAAAAAAAATGCATCACTGTTTTCACAAAATTTTGAGCAGCACAACTGTTTTCAATATGAATAATAATAAGAGGAAATTATTCTTGAGCCCCAAATCAGCATATTATCATGATTTCTGAAGGATCATGTGACACTGAAGACTGGAGTAATGATGCTGAAAATTCAGCTTCGCCATCACAGGAATAAATTACATTCTAAATATATTCAGAAAGAAAACAGTTATTTTAAACGGCAATAATATTTAAATTTTTTTTATTGTATTTTTGATCAAGTGAATGCAGCCTTGTTGAGCATAAAACATTTTAAAAAATCCTAATGACCCCAAACCTTTGAACATTTAGTACATATGAAAATGTTCAAAACTGACAGGTAATCTGCAGGCAGAAAGCACAACTGAATTAATTTAACTAAGCCAATAAACACTTTTCAAGAACACGTATCAATCTGTGATTATTATTAATACAAATATTAATTAATTTATTATTATTGTATAAATCTGTTTTAAAATGAACTTCAAAATGTGTTGCCATTGTCATGATAACAGTGTAGTTATAGGTGGGTTATACATGCAGAGAGCTTGGAGACTGAGAGGCTCAGGGCAGGTGCAGTTTTGGATTTGAGGCCCCTGGCCATGTCATGTCCCCTCTCTCCTACCATAACAAGAATCCCAGAGACTCCAGAGAGCAACAGTTGCTAAGAGAGAGAGGGAGGGGGTGCGGAAGAAAAAGAGCGAGGGAGTCTGTCTTTCACAGCTCTCGTGGCTGGTACACTATCTTTTCTCTCCCTCTCGTTTCTCACTCCTTTAAATGGTCCTGTGTGTGTGACCCCTTTTCTAGGCCTCTTCTCTCCATGCCCGAGTGACACCTTCCCTATTAGCGTTCACACCGGCCGCTGTCTCTCTCTTTCTCTCTGTCCTTTTTTCTTGCAGTTCCTCTCTCTCCCTCCTTCTTTCACGCTGATCGCACTCGTTCCAATTCATTCCCCACTAAGTGCTGCTGCTGAGGGCCCCAATTGAAAAGGTGGAGCTCGAGCCACACAAGCCTGAAAGGGCAGAGAAAGAGAAGGAGGGAGGGAGGGAGAGAGAAACCTGGATCTGTTATTCTTGGGACATGCACTGGGAAAATGAAAAAGAGAAAGGATGAGAGAGACGCAAGTGGGAAATTATGAATGGGCCATGAATATCAGTCCTTCTGAATCAACAAAGAGAAGTGAGAGCGAGTGAGCTAAAGGCAGAGAAACGGAGAGAGAGTGAGAGGGAGCTAAAGGCAGTGGCGTTTCACCCCACGGTTTTGGCTCTTGACTAATTAGCCACAGAAGTTAAATTAAACCAACCGCAGGAGAGAGGGAGAGAAAGAAAGAAAGAGAAAGGCAGAGAACGAGCGGGGGTCCCTGCTCCATCTGATCTGGTCCCCTCTGTGTCACAGAGGTCAGCTGAAACAAAACGGACGGAGCCCCACGTAAGAGCCCCCAGTATGAGTCGGGCTCGAGTCTCCATTGTCTCCGAACCAACAATGGAGCACCGAAAGAATTTCTCTTTCTTTTCTTTTGTAAGAAGCCTTTTGTGAAGTGAAGCACTTTGGTGTCGGAAGAAATTGGAGGGGTCGGAGTCACCCAAAGGGGTAGAGAGGAAGGGAGAGGGAGGGCAGGGTTGCCCCTCCACTCATTCACTGGAGTGTTTTGCATAATTGTTACATTCTATACTTGTAATTATCCTGTGATGTGAACCTGATAGTGTCTGGACTAATTCATTTAGCCGTATTTCGCTGACTTTGCTCATTCCTCGCTCTTTTCTGTGATCTGCCGATTAATTAATTAGATCATAATTGTGATCGTATGCTTGCTTTGTTGGTTAATGGGGCATATGCATGTGCGCGTGTTTGCTGGATCGGAGGGGGTCGTGTTCATATCAACGATTAGACATGACGTGCGGCACTGAGCTGATATTGGCTGGTTTCTGTGTCGAGATGGATAATGAACTCTGTAAGACCCTCTCGCGTATCTGATAAACACCTTCCTCAAACACTCACGTGGATTACAGGTGTGATCCTCCAGAATTGTCTTCGCACTTGTGTGTGTGAGCGTAAATGCGCAATTGTGCATGCGACGATTCTTTCTCCCTCTCACGCTCTGCTCCACTGGTCCATGTTAATTTTAAACTCTTTTCTGACGTCGAGCGAATATCAAGCTTCATCGCTGGACCAGCTGTTTATCCTGTCTCCATATGCCTCTCCAGTCAAAAATAACACTAAAAGGCCGTTTATCCGTGTTTGAGCTCTTAAAGCTCTTAAATAAATAAGATTAGACCAGATCCTGTGTCCTGTGTAAGCTGTGGTGAATAAGAGGTATAATATCTGATTTATGTACAGAATTATTGTCATCCCTCTTAGAAGGCTGGCTGGATCCACTCGCTTTTTCTCCGTCTGTCTCTCTGTTTCCTGCCTTCCTTTATTTATTTCTTTTTCGATCAATCTCTACTTCTGGCCCAGAAAGCATTATGTTCTGCTAAGCTGAAATAAAGGTCTTCAGATGCATTGCTAATATTCACCCTTTCGCTTTCCCTGTCAATTCTCTGTGTTTTGCCGAAAACACGATGCCCTTAGAACGCTCTCTCTATCTCTATTGTTGCATCTGATTTTTCCTTTTGTAAATGTGCTTATGGAAATGTGGGCATTCTTAAAATACACAGCCACTGAAAGTTCATGTCTGTAGCTGATTCAGGGCTCCAGACTGTGACTAATAAATCGCAATAATAATTTAAAATCAAAGGAAAACTTAACCGTGATAGCTGAGTTACTCAAAAAAATTCATAAAAGAGGCTCAAACTCGCATGTTAGTTAGCGGTTTGAATCAGATTCAGTGAATTGAGTAAGCTGTTACTGAGTTTGCAGTTGACTATATTCAAAAATAAAACCTATAAAAAACAACCACAAACATTGTTTAGCACAATGAGTTACGTTTATAATGTTTAATCAATTGTAAGGGAATCGATTGTGAGGTTTAATCTAAATAAACTCAATATTAAAAAGTAATTTGTCTTTTTTTTAAAGATGAAGAATCATTGTCTGAATCGTGAGGTTCTTGGCTCTCATCCCTGAGCCTGTGAAGAGCTAAATCAAGTGCTGTTTGATGTTTATAAGTCACTCTTAAAAACTCCCCAACCCCCCCTCATTTGATCAGACTTGGAGAGACTGGTTGACAAAACAGGCATTAGTGCTCTGCAGGTCTGACTGTGCTGTATTCACCCTCCCTGCATCTTGCCGCAGCTCTGACTGATGTCCCTGAAGCGGAAGGATGGGTTTAGCGTTTAAACGGACAGACAGAGAGAGGATCTTATTAGTATCAGAGTCAGCACTGAGCTTCTCTCACAACTTTCACTTTAATTTACCCATGAATGGGCCCCTCCAAGATGGTCAAATATAGTCTGTCAATTACATTATTATAAGTTCTTCCAGTGTGTCCAAACATCTGAGGATCTTCTCTACAGATACATAAGGGTATTCTGTTGACTGAGAATGTTTTATACCTCATTTTTCTAACTATACTGAAGATATACATACTATATCAGATTCATTTTAGATGGCTCTAGCTCTTAAATTTAATTGGACGGTTAGAATAAGTTAAATGAATGGTATACACATATGACCAAACATGCAAGTTTACATGTTTGCAAGTTTTAATTTAATTTAATTATTTTATTTTATTTAGAGTTTAATTATAGTTATTATTCTCCCAGAACTGATAGATGAACTATTGCTTGGCAAATGAATTGTTTATTGTGGTTGTTATTTTGAATTAATAAAAATAAAACCTAAATATTTTATCATATTTGCCGTTGCCCCATTTTGTGAAAGCAGCAAATAAGCATTTCTATAGTGAATTTACTGGTAGGGAGAATTGTTGGTAGGCCTTTTTTTCTTTAGTTTATTGCTTGTTTGACATATTTTATGATCATTTTTAAAGACTTTTAGTTGAATTCACCAAAGATTTCTGTGGTCAGTGAAGCACATCTAGTGATATTGTTCACACAGACTTTCTCTGAGCAGTCAGATGTGCTTTATCTCTGTTGTTAGTCTCAATCCTGCATCCATTTTGGTGGGACTAATGGTGTGACATTTAAAAACATGTTTGTGGGTTAATGGAGGTCTCCTGACTGCATGAGGCTCTATAATAGAGTATAGTCTATTCTCTGGGATGAGAGGGCTCGTATTTAAGAGAGAGAAAGAGCAAGAGCGAGTGTGTGAATCACACACCCACCTGCACATAATGACAATAGTTTAAACTCTATTCTGACATGAAGAGCATCGCTCCTGCTTTTTAAAAGATGACACATGCCTTTTCCCACATCTTTGTGCTTTTTGAAACCAGTATGATTGCATCCGGTCAGAGTTCAGGGAGAAAGAGAAAAGGAGGGAGGACAACATAAAGGCGACTGAACAAATGAGCAAGACTGATTTTTGAAAGTTTGATACTTTTATCTGTCCCCCCCCCCCCCCCCCTCTCTGAAACTTCAAACAGGTTATTTAATCTATTCTCTCTCTCCTTTTCTCCCGCAGCCTCTATTCGCTGCTTCTCTCTCTTCGAGTAGAGCGCAAAAATGAAAAACGGAAAAAACTGAAGTATTGTCATGTGAGCTGAGATTAATTTTAGATTGCTCTGCTGTTCTGCTTTACCTTCAAAGGACCTCCATTACGTGGCAGCAGATAAGGGTGAGGTGGTGTTAGCCGCTGTAGCCAAGAAGAAGGCTAATGAAATAGACGCAGAGGCACAAACATCGGCACCAGGTGAGAGAATTATTCACATAATGTTAGTTACAATAAAAATGATCCCAAATCTTCTAGAGGTGTGTTAATAATGTTTTGTAAGAGCAAATGATCACTCAAAAACACTAATTATCTGCATGTTTTCATTTACTCGTTTAGAAAAATAAAAATAAATGCAGAAAGGTACAATTATTTCAAGCTGAACTGTTTTCAAGCAGGTTTCCTGACCACTCCCATTGTCTTTCATTGTTTGAACACACATTTTAAGCTGGGATAGGTGAAATTATTTTGAGATGGAAAAAGGAGTTCTTTTAACTTAAAAATTCTGTTGCAGGTGGCATGTTGTGCTTTTACTCTGAGTTCAAAACATGTACACTGTTCATTTCATTCAGTCTTTCATGATATGACGTAAGACGCATGTGACCCTGGCCGTGGCACCACTGGGAAATTAAAAAAGTCATTAAGTTTCGTAATGTTTAATCGCTTATGTAATTATATTTGACTTATTTAAGGTTTTTTTTTTAACACTGTGCACAGATATAGAGGAGAGTTTGATTTGTTCACGTTGTTGATTGGCTGAATAGGACGGGTTTAAAGTGCATTGACCTCAGCTCTAATATTCTGTTTTCTACTGACCTGATGAGGACGTCCTACGTGCTGCTCTTCAGCGATGTTCAACGAATATTTCATAGGCCAACTGGATGGGCAGACATTAAAATGAGAAAGGGCATAGAAAGAAAGGAAAAGCAAGTGGGAGATGAGGGACGGACAGAAGTAGTTCAGCTAACAGGTGTACAGAAGAGACAAGGGACGTGTTTAGCGTCTAATAAGGGGGTGAAAACTTGAGGGTGTGTGTGTGTTTCCCACCCTGTCTGCCCATAAGCCTCTTAATTATGTCCTTGATGATTTCCCTGCTCTCTCACCCCGAGCAGACCTTAGCCTTGGAAGGAAGTGCTTAAGAGCGTGAATGTGAAATGAACAGATGGGTAAAATAGTCTGTTTGAGGGCATTTTACCGCTGTTAATAGTTAAAATGTTGCAATTAGAAGTCATTGCTTGAGATTTTTTTATATAGTGAAAAATACTCTCTCTCTCTCTCTCTCGCTCTCTCTTTCTTTTCAGTCAAATCTGTGTAGGTTTTCGGGTCAATAGCTTCTTTCGGGTGCTGATATTGCCTGTGTGTGTTTGTGTGCAGGGTTTATTGAGGAATAGAGGAATATTTACAGGAAATTCTGTAGGGCAGCGTAGAGGATCATAAATAGGGAATGAGAGCAGTAGGATTCTGCTTTGTGCTGTGCATTAAAAAGACAAGGTGTCTTGTTTATATTTGGCCAGCCTGAAGCGAACGTCTCACACTGTCAGCCAACCATGACTCTAAAGGACATACGCACACACACTAGAAATTCAAAGGTTACTTAGTATTCACACATTATATGGTCGTTCTCATAAATAAAACAAAGTGTCGAACAGCTTTAATGGTATTGTTCTGTTGTGGATGATTATTGACAATTTAGCTGTGCTGCCTAGTGTCTCTTAAACCAATATAATAGATAGGACTGTGCCAATCTATTAAAATATGTAATCAAATTGTCACAGAACGCTCTACAACACCTCCTTCTGGCGTCATTCGATCCCTTTCTCCTGCGTATTAAGACTTCATCTCCCATCTCCCCTCTCTGCACTCATCACCATCCAGCCCTGCTGAATTCCCTTGTCATCTTCATCATTATCACCTGTTGCTCCTTATCCTCCCTTTATATGGACTGCTTTCTCTTTTGTTCTCTGTGAAGTATTGATTTGCCAATCTGTTTGTGTCGCACGTTTCTCTGTTATCTCTGGACCTTCGATCTCTGACCTGGACTTTTTGATGAACTCTCGTACCTTCGCTGCCTGTCCTGTCTTGGCCTATGTGTTTCACTTTGAATATTGGATCGCTCCCCTACTAATGCCAGCCTGAGTTTTCTTCTGTTGCCAGCTTGAGTTTATGTCAGCTTTCCTCGTTTTTGTTACCCGTGTTAATAAACTTCAGCAAATGGATCTAACTGCCTCAGCCTGTACATCACAAAAATCAATTACATGATGCACTAATTAATTAATCAAATATCCACAAATTAGTGCTGGGCAGTATGATCTGAAAATCTGTATTTTACTGTCTGGAGTACATAGATTTTATAATAAAAATGTATAAACATTGTATGGTCAAATAATTATTTAATAAAAAAAATGGTGGTAATCAAATCAATTTATAAAACTAATAATTTAGTTTATCTTAAAAGGTAATGATTCTTTTTATTTTTTGGCAAGTTTACTGTTTAAATTAAAACATGTATGAAAACTTGTGTAATATTCTGTAAATATTCCTCTACTCCGCAATAATAGTATATTTGTTATAATTTCTTCAAGTTAAACTAAACTTTTATTTTGACGTGTTGTCGTGAAGACCAGTTTCTGTGTATATGATATGACGATCGTTTCATCAAATAAAATGGTGAAATGCTCGTAAAGTTAAAGGTAGACTTTTTGTTATGCAGGTTGAAACTCTATTCACATCCTTATAGCGATCATTAATAGAAGTGGTCTAAATATTAAAACATTTACATATATGTTCTGTGGAAGTCTCAAGACTCAAAAAAGACTCAAAAAAAGTTCATCCAATCATTGCATTCGGTCCGAATACAGTAGCCTACATAGCGGTCTTTTTGCCCATTGAATAAATGCAGGCATGCAGCAATTGTTTCAGCTATGCATCCATATGGCTGTATTTGAAAAATACATATTTTACGTGAAATTGAAACCACATCGGTTGGTTGTACCATATTCCACCCCACAAAAATAATTTCATTTATTCGTATTAAAAGTGGATTTAAAATCTACAGCAATCAATAATATAGCTATATATATATGATATATATACACAGATGATCCTTCACAAATCAGTCTAATATGCTGATATAATATCCTTTAATATGCTCAAGTAACATGTATTATTATTGTCAGTGTTGAAAACAGTTGCTGTTTAATATTTTCGTGGAAACTGATTTTTCTTTCTTCCCCCAGAAGTCTTTGATGAACAGAAAGTTCAAAAGAACAACATTTAATTGAAATAGACATATTTTGTTACATTATAAATGCCTTTTCTATCACTTTGATTAATTTAATTATAAAAATCTTGACCCCCAAACTTTTTTCTTTGTTCAAATTGAGTGGAAAGTAAAATACATAACAAAACATAGTGAAGACAGTCCACTTTTTTTTCAATATTACAACAAAGAAAACAACAGAAGAAAGGGAGGAAAAGAAAGAAAAAAATTGGGGGGAGGAATGGTGATAATTCAAAGGAATTCAGTCAACAGTCAAAATTTGAAGGGACTAAAATATATTATAAAAGGTTGCCATTTATCATGAAAAGAACCATAACTAGCATGACCCCAAAGTTTTGAACGGTAGTGTGTATATATAGAGATGATTCGTTTTTCTTTTTAGTTTTTAAATGATATGAATGTAGTTATATATTATAATATAAATCAAACTACTGTTATAGAAATTCATGTGGTAATGAGGCTTCCAGGTTGTCTTGTCAGAACAGCTCTTTTGCACCGATGGTCAGGAAGCAAGATTAAATTGCAGAATTTTTATTGTGTAATTTTTCTTATAATTGTTTGCACTCAATGAATGCATTAAAATAACAGCCCTAATAATGTATTTTTCCTTGCATTTTTTTTATATTCTTGAACTCCCTGCCTAGACACCCTGCAGTCTCTCTGTCTGTCTGTCTGTCTTTCCATCCTTCCACCGTTGCTTTGTTGTCACAGAAGAGGATCAGTGTCCGTCCACTATCTCATTGAGGAGTGTGTTGATTTGGTGAGAGAGGCAATTGTAAAGGAGGACTCTGAGAAGAGCGTATGAGAGGGATCATCTTATAGCTCATGAGACGCACACGCACACACTGCTGTGCTGTAGGGTGTTCCCTGAGATCAAGTCTCACTTAGTGTCTCTTGTTGTAATATGTTACCTTCACTGTCTCTGTCTGGGAGAGTCGTGTACTAGACGCCCATGTTTTACACTATATGTCATGTTCTGTCTCTCTCTCTCTATTTCATAGAAGAGCTTCTACATTTCAAAGATTCTTCATGTTAAACTGTTTTCCTCGGGGCATGGTGGGATTTTGTGTGTGATTTCAGATGAGTGTCAGTCAGCATACGGAGGGCAGAGTGGAGTCAAGCTCCCACCAACCAGCAGCGACAGACATGTTCACCACCCCAAACGCTGGAGCACTGCATCAAGGTGTGTGACCTAGACAAGTCTAGATTCAATTGTTAGCTGATACATTAGTAATTGCATTTCTTGAAATGCCATAAACTGGTGCTGTTAGCAGTGTCATTTGAGTGCATTTCTTAAAGCGATAGTTCACCCAAAAGTGAAAATAATATTACTTACTTGCCCTCATGTCATTCCTATCTGTGTGCTGTTATTTCTTTCTGTGGGACACAAAATTCGGCAAATATTCTTCATAAAAGTAGTCCATACAACTCATGTGATGCATAGCAAGAGTTGTGAAACCATACGCTTTATGAAATTTACTGTTAGACACTATTTCATAATAATACTGAAAACCACCCTGACCGAAGCATTGACTGGTTTTGGATCAACCAGTTCATTAAAAATAACTTATTCTAACAAAGAAAAAAAAACTGATCAGTTTGTCAAGTTTAATCATTCAGTGACTAATGGCGTAAATTTCAGTCTGTTCCTCGCTTAATGCATCATATGGCTTCACAAGTTTGAATATAGTGAATATAGTTTTAAGAACTACTTTTATTGGGCTTTTTGTCTCTTTTGTATCTTGATAGAAGTAGTAATTACGAACGGTCATTAAATGTAAAATAATTATGTGAAGATTCTTCAAATATCCTTTTATCTTCAAAGGTAAAAAAACAACAGTATATAGCTTTGGAAAAACATGAGGGGAGTAAATAATGATAGTACCGTATTTGTATTTTGTGAACTATCCCTTTAAACTCATGTCAAACATATCACAACAGGGGCGTGAGGTCCATATAAGCTGTGAATGCTCTGCGTACCCAAGCCATATGTGGAGTTGCTAATTAATATAAACACTATAAATTACTATAAAGTCCTTTGTTTGAGGTGTACCATAAAGCTTTCATGATAAAATGTTGGTAATATGTATGTAACTGTCTGCCATTTGTTTATTTGCCGAACAATGGTAATTTTCTTCGAATCTGCTAGTTTCGTGTGTTTCGGGTAAGGGTATCCACAACAGCTTTGGCTCCTACGCTCTCTTGTTATGTATCGTCATCATTGTCCTGCGTTCTCATTGGTTTTCTAGCAAATGGGGGATTTCATGCGCAGGGAAAGCTGTCCGCGAATCGCTCGTCCAAGCAGAAAAATGATCTCGATCAATGAAAATCACATTGTATTTGATACAAAACTAACTAGACTAAATCAAAAGAACAAAAAAGTCATAAATGAAACTATTTTCATAGTATTTCATTTTCTCCAAAGGGAAATTGATTTTTTTCAAAAACTTAGTGTTAAAGACAGATATACTGTTTGTAGACGTGCCACCGAGTATACCGAGTTAAAGAAGTCACTGCGAGAGATATTTTAAGCAAACACCCATTCTAACTCTTTGTGTGTGTGTACTTTACCCAAGTTTGGCCTGGAGCATCACAATAAGGGTGTAGAGTGGATGTGTGTGTGTGTGTGTGTGTTACATGAGGATTGTCCTATTGTCTTATCCTCTCTCTGCCTCCATTGCTGCTGACGGAGGGACCATTGACTCTGTGCTGACTCTCTTTCTGTCCCACTTAAGCTCCCTCGATCTCCTTTAAATCCTCCCTCTCCCGTCAGCCAGTTACGAGTGGACGGCCCAAAGAGGATGGGGTGGGATTAAAGGGTTTTTAAAACATAAAATAAGGAGTTTGGGGTAATTTGGCAGCCTGAATCCCAGTTTACAGGCCTGCACTGCTACACGGCCGGATGCAAGACATCAGAGGGAGATGCTCCCACCCAGATAAATAGCAGTCAAGAGAGAGAGGAAATCCTCTTCTCATTTTTCCCTTTTTATGTTTGTTTTTTGGAGTTTTTAAAATTCTATTTAACCAGACTAATCTGGTCTCCGATGAAGTTTTATTGTTCTTTATGCTGAGCCAATAAGGCTTAGAGACACTGATTCGAGCCTCATGCCTGCGTTGTGCTGGCAAAGAAAAAAAAGATCGGGAGTGAGCGAGCGAGCGAGAGAAGGAGTACAATGACTTGGTGGCATCACCGTCGGTTGTACTAAATCCAGCTCTGCGCAGGGAGAGAGGCAAACATGCGGATATCTGGAAAACATCCCGAGTCTGACACACATCTTTTAATGTATCCTTTTATTCTCACACACACAACACACTCAGAGAGACACACTCCAGCTCTTGGACTCGTGACACTTTTTGCATCTGAGTGTATCTGTACATGTGTAGCGATGTGTATGTGTTTGTTCGCTTGTTTGTATGGTGTGGGCTGCGCCCCGTAGGCCTCTTTTTCTCCTCCTCCCTCGATTGCTTGTAAGCGGCGTGCATCACTAAAGGAAATAGAAAAACCACAGAAATTGGACCCTGTCTCCATCGCCAGTCGCCGCAGAAAAACCCAAATCGCACAGCCCACAATACGACTGATAACATTCACGCAGTCTTACACGCTTGCTGGATTTGACGGCACGGCGTACGGTGGCAGCGGTTCGTGTTTTTTGGAAAACCCATGAATCCCTGGGAAAGGCCTGACTCCCACACATAGCTGCTCTGTGTTGACTTGATGCTGTGTGTGTGTGTGTGTGTGTGTGTGTGTGTGTGTGTGTGTGTGTGTGTGTGTGTGTGTGTGTGTGTGTGTGTGTGTGTGTGTGTGTGTGTGTGTGTGTGTGTGTGTGTGTGTGTGTGTGTGTGTGTGTGTGTGTGTGTGTGTGTGTGTGTGTGTGTGTGTGTGTGTGTGTGTGTGTGTGTGTGTGTGAAAGAGATCCAGGCCTGTCTGCTGTGAATGCTGGTACACTGAACAGATAGTAACATTTCTCTGAATGCAGAAGACTAGAATATTTCCATACAGCATTCACTGTTAGTCTGATTGTATGGGGTTAGAGAGATTTCTTTACTCATATCTTTAGTCATATATGAAAAACTTGATTCCACAGGAATAGGGCTGCAGAAACGTCGACTTCTGAGGCTATGGATGACCTCTCTAACAGCCTGACAAGTCATCGCACCTGGCCTTGGAAACACACAGGTGTGTTCTTTTGAATGCAGCTCCGTTTAAGTAAATACTGCTCTCAAAGTAGATACAAAAGTAACAGGGTTGAATGAGTACATTGTTCTCAGTATTTGGATGAAGGCGTACAGCTTGTTTTTCAGCTTTATTGGCATAATTTATCTAGTGACTGTGTGACTGCCACAGATAATTCCTTCATTAATGCCCTGAGAGTGATATCTTCCCCTCTGTTTTGCCCTCTCAAGAATAGGTTCAAGTTGACTGCCTTTTTTTCTGCTTGTATTGTACTTAGCTAATCATTCTAAAACATGAATGTTTTATTCTTTTCTGTCCACAGAATAATTCAACTTTTTTCCCCATACATATTTATTGGACAGTACAGACTGTAGGCTATTACAGACATTTACATCAGAATTTTAATACATGCATAATCCTGAATGCTAATGGCTCAGTCATAATTTACCATGGAGAAACCCTCCTCCAGTTGAGCCGCAGAGGATGCTTGAACTCAACACTTCCGCCCACTCGTACATACAGTGCACTTACTCCAGATTACTGAGTGATTGGTGCTCGGGCTGATCACCTGATTCAGGTGTGGAGATAGAAAGGCGCTGCTGTGACACTCAAGCGGATGTGTCAGCGTACAACTTTTTTAAGACTTTAATGTGATGCTCACTTCACTTGTAACATTTGTATGCGAGTATTATTTTCTTAAGTTTGAATTTTTTCTCTCTCTTTAGAAATCAACCTTGTCGACCGGAACACACAGGTATTGTTTTACATTTTGATAGTATTATTGTATATTTCTTATTTTTGATGATGCACTGTGTTGTTTTGACTTTTTCTCTGAGAATCATTTACAGTCCTATAACTATTTATTCATATAAATATTTTTAATAATTTATATTACTTCTTATTTTGTGACTTCTAGGTGCCTGAGGAGGGGAAACTGAAAGTTATTCATTTTGGTTTAGTCTAAATTAGTACAATCAATGCTATTAATAGTTTTTAATATTTTTATAACAATTAAAAAATGTTCTTTTAGTAAAAAAAAAAAAACTGTTACTTAAACTATAAAACTACTTTCAAATAAAACATATTTTTGCAATTCTTTTGATTCTGTTTTAATTACTTTTATAGCTTGCTCAGTGTTTGTTAAATAATTTCTTGTCACGTAATTTGTCACTCTCTGTCTTGGAAAAGGGGTCGTAAGATCCTGTTTATGCCCAGTACTGTACAGCCTTGAGTATAAAAAAAACTATTTTAATGGTTATTCCTTTTTCTATTACATATACTCCCTAACCATTCTGGCTCGTGCCAGTCACTATCACATTATCAGAATGTTTGAGGGTCTGTGCAAACCGCTTTTTTTTTTTCATTTTAGTAACACTTGACTTTCTTTGAGCATGGTGGCACAGAGGCCACACTAGTATCCCTGTTCTTGATCACAGGATCAGTGGTGCGGCTTGTGGGCTGGGTTTAATTCTCCACCTGTTTGGTGTATGAGATTACACGCAGAAGAAATGCAGAGGGGATACGCAGCGCGTCTCTAAAGAGGAGGCTGCCGTTTCCCCCCACAGTCTTCATACAGCGGCCGTGTCAGAACTGTCGCCGACCTGCTCTCCGAACTTAATCTGACAGCACCCAGCCATCCATAATCCCTCACTGTATCGTAATCTATTTACTCTGCATTCTAAGAGGATTTTCTTATTTTTTTTTAAGTATATGTACAAGATATATAAATATGAATTTATGCTGGAAATGGAGGAAGGGTCAGGAGAGGAAGCTTTTGTGTTGCCACCTCTGTTTTATGTGCGTCTGTTGCCTATTCTTTGCACGTTTTAAGGACAAATCAGTACTGTTGTCTTGTCACCGTATCATTTTTAAGCATATTTTAAAACATTGCATTGCATATTGTCTATTGTAATGTATACATTGCCCTTGATTTGTGCATTAAAACAATCAGCAATTATGATGATTGGTCCGACAACTGATTGAGTAGTTTTCAAGAGGCATCTGTCTTCTTTGAATTATATTCATATTGTTTTTTTTTTTAATAAGTCTGGCCTCCAGTCACTGATTGTGTGCCAGGAACCATTTTCAACAGCTCAGACTTAAGCTTAAAACTTAATCACACAGGATTATTTGAGATCACAGTTTTTCTGTAAATGACAACCTTGTAATCCTGTGTCGAGTCAAACTAAGAAAATGTTTTGGATCAAACAATCTTTCTGGCAAAAATGCTGCAATTTGATTGGCACATCATTGGGTTTGATAGACGATGAGTTTCTTTTACAACATCCAGAAGCATTGTTAGCTTCTTTTTATGAGATATGATAAGGGAGCTTAGATGTTCTGATCATGTTTGTGTATTTTGCAGTATTACATCCATGAGGTCATTGAATTCACACCTATAATATTCTCTTTTAATATGAATAATTTGGACTTTTTTCTAATGTTTTAGAATGTGCAGTGCAGATGTTTTTATGAATTGACCTGAGCATCAAGGGCCTGGCTCTGCACAGTTCATCAGAGATCTTTACATCTAATTCAACCAGCTGTCATACACCACCAGATATTGAACAAATCTGCACAAACAAACAGCCATTCACTGTTAGTGTTCATTTCCTGAATGGTTGTGTAAGCAGAGGGCAAACTGGTTTTCAGTCCTCACGCTCCCTGTTGGATCAACAGACCGAGGAAGGCCTCAAGGTTAATCTGAGTGGCATCTTTCAGACGGTGAGGTGACGTCACAGTCTGGTCACTTGATAGGAGAAAAATAAACTTGACAAAATGTTCTCACCTCAATTAAGAGTTAATTAACTGTTCCCGTTTTAATTGCAGCCATTAACATCAATTATGTCACCACTGATTGCACTGTTTTGTCAACTGACACTTGAGTGGTAAAATAGTATTAGATATACAGTAGAGATCCTATTCCAGTCTCTATCATTTTAAAACACTGTGTCCCAGTTTCACAGACAGGGTTTAGATTAAGCCAGGATAGGGCCAATTAGGACATTTAAGTAGACATTTGTTTCTACCTTAAATTGTTACATTGTTTAAATTAATACATTGTTTGCCAACTGCGTGATTTGTAGGCTATATGTATATTTCTGAAATGCATAACTTGGACACAGTCACTTATGATAAATCACTCGACAACGATGACACTGGTGTATTTTAAGATATGCCAGTCCAAGTTGCTTTCAGTTAAACCGGCTCAAAATATGCATTTTAGTCAGGAACAGTTTATATTTATTTTTGTCATATAAGGAAAATCATTCAATATCAATATTTTCCATTTAATTTAGTGTATATATATATATATATATATATATATAAGTAGTTACTATTTACCTTGCACCCTAAAATATGGGACTGTATAACATCTTCAAAAAGGTTTTCAAATCATTTTAAACCAAGGCAATTTTTGTACAAATGTCACATTTTATATTATTTCAGCAAAACATATCAAGTCATTTTTAGTTTTAAGCCTACTCCGCTTGACTCGAGCAAAAATATGCCTTTTGTTGAAAAGGTCAGAATACTTTATACTTAAAAATAATGATGATAATAATAAAAATAATGACTTCGAGACGCTCCTTTATATAATTTTTTTTTTGTCATGTGACAACACAATGGTTTCCTGCATGTTGTTTACGTCACACTGACTTTAAATTGACATATATTTTACCGTTTATTATTAATATATATATATATATATATATATATATATATATATATATATATATATATATATATATTCTTCACTAATAATTTTAAATATAATTTCAGCTTTTTAATGAGACTTTTTGTAGTAGCCTATTCTGAAGATATTAGCCCAGAGCGCAGACATTTCTGAATGTAGGCCCCACAAAAAAACAAAACAAATTAAAACGCTCGACAAGAAGTGTTTTCGCAAAACAGATTAGAAAAAAAGAGCTTTCGTTGTCCTAAATATCTTTAATAAATAAATAAAATAAAATGCCGAGAAAAACTTATAGTTTATTAGGAGCTATATCTGTAGCTAGCCTACCTAAACTGTAGGCCTATATGTATGGTCAGTTACTGATTTAATGATAAAGTTATATATGAGCTCAGCAAGTGTCCATCCTGACAGCCATAATGTCATCTGTTCCTAAGACCTCAGCGTCAATACTGTAGGAATAAATCCCTCTGGTGGTTTTCCCACCCTCAGCGTTTCTGTAACTCACAGGCCTGGAGTCAGCATCTCGCCATCTCAGCAACCCTTCGCTCATCACACTTCCGTTTTCCCATTAATGCTTTTGGTCGGTAATCTCTTTTGCAGTTCTCACATGTAATAATATGGTGCCAATTGTGGACGAGCCGTCCCACTCGGGTGACATTTGGACACATGAGCATATCAGCAAGGCAAGAGTGGATTGCTTATACAGCAGTAATGAAAGCGTCCTAGCTATCCGCCTCATGAACTGAGAAAATTCCACATTTTGGGGACAGTTCATCAAAATGTTCTTGACCGAGGGAAGTTAGCTGCTTGGGCTTTTTGCTGCAATAATTCGATTTCGTTTAGTTGAGACAATTTACCACCGGTTTAATAAATAAAAGAAAAAATTCTTGCAGGGGGCAATCTAAAAATAAAGTAAAGCTTTCTCAGTGAATTGTAGGCTATTTGAGTTGTGGTATTAGCCTAACGGTAGTGAAAGGCACATGCCTTCCAGGTAGAAACTGATTAAACAATATCTTCTGGTTGAATAGCCTAAATGACAAAATGATAGCCGAGATAATTTTCAGAACGGAAATTTAAAGTGAAAGCACAGCTTGTTTGCGTGACAGTAAGCGAAATTTCAGATCAACATGTGAAGTGAGAGTCTAATCAACTTTTTCGTATGTGCTCATTCTTTGAGTAAAATTAGACAGAAGTCAGGCTTAGTGACCTATATAGGCTACGTCCCTCTTACATGTTTTTACCCAAATTCTCACCTCAGCTTGTATGTAATAACGTTTGCTTTGTTGTTCACTTAAAATGCACGTGGCAGCCAGGCTTTAAATTTTGAAAATCATTCCATTTCAAAATGATGAAACTGGATAACGTAGGCTATTTGAATGCGAGTGCTTAAATGGCCGATGACGTTAGATGTTATTAAATTCAGACCTTTATGATAGGCCTATAGACTATCGGTTATCATTTTTCGCCTTGACAGTTTATGTAAGGACGAAATATCTAATGTCTGAAGAAAGACGGGAGCTTTATTTAGGCTAATTCGGTTATTTTATCGGGAAAAAAATCACAGATATTTGTTGTTATCAATAGTGACCAACTCTGTGAAGTTCATGGACATGAAATCACCTGTCCAGAATCATGCCAGCGTCAGTTGAAAGTGTTAGAACGAACAGGCCCTATATGTTTTCTCTCGCTCACCCCTCGGGCGTAAGCAGGTGCTCCACGCGAGGGCGTGTCCGAGCTCCTCGAATTATTCCCCAGGAAGACAGGACGCAAATGTTTGTTTGATGCAAATCTTACAAATCCATTCATGTTTATGTAGTGTCGCTGAGCTGCGGTGGCGTCTCAATGCGAGCACAGTAAAACAAATACGGGTAATGTTCTTCTGGGCAAGGTGTTGATTCAGCTGCCAGGTCAACACACCAATAATTAGCACACAAAAACACTGAAGCTGATTAAAGTCGTGCGAATGGGTTATTTTATTATTAGCCTATATGCTAGGCTACTAACGAAATTGTTCTCGGAAAAACAACAACAACACAGAACATGAAATTCATTGAAACGTCGAGTAGCGTGTCTCTTTCAATGCGCATTTATTTATCATATAATAAAAATGTGATGGGGTAGGGCTATAATAAATATAACAGATCTTTGTCATAAATTAGGACTAAAAATAATGCAGGCCTTCCTGTGGTAAGAGACATATAAACAATTTACAACCTGTGCACATAGGCTACTTCATATCCGCTGCTAATCGACCAAAAGGAAACTTTTTTTGTTCGAACACGTTCATCTAAACAGCTTTGCCAGGCCCTTGTTTTTCTCAAGAATTTATTTAATGGCCCGGTGCCTGACGGCTGCCTCCCTCCCGCTTTTGACCCATTAACCCAGACCCACCCACGTCATTACCAAATCAGAAGAAGCGATATCGCTCCGGGTTATTTTGGCGAAACGCTCTTGTGCTCCAGAGCGCGCGGAGATTCTGCTGGGAAGCAATTATCGCGAGCGCATTCAATTACGACCTGATCAAATGCGTTAATAAATATTTAAGAAATGTTGCGGTGCCGTGGCCTTTATAACAATTTACACAAAAAGACCTTCAAACGATTGTGTGTTTTCTAAAGCCCAACTGAATATAGGCCTAGTTAAAGTCCACGGTTTTGAATTAATCAATTTTACACCACTGCATACTCAGTTGTAGCATCCATTCCCATGGCAAATAACCGATTTATTGAGGAGCAAAAACTTAATCCTTTCCACATGACAAAAAAATGCAGTCAGTAGGCTAACATGCGGGTTTTCATTCACGCCCTTAAAATCCTCACAGTCCGACGGAAATAAATCAATGTTCATCAAGTTCAGTGCAGATAATCATTCAGCTCTATAGATCACTGGTTGAAAAATAAATAAAGTTGTATTGGCTATGTAAAAGTTGTTCTAAAACCAAAATGCATCCAGGATCTCAGGAAATAAATAAAATTGAGGTGCGTTTATTGTACTTTTTTTTTTTTTTTACTTATTCATTCGTTCGTTGAGAGTTGAAAACATTTGCAACAAGAGAGTAAATTTCGGGTGTTAAATGTGGACATACCCCAGTCAGAAATCATGTAAAAATTCTGGTAGTTAACTGATCTTTATTACGGACATGAATGTAATGATCTGCGCTTGCAGTACATTCAGCATTTCACTGGCATTTGGGAATTCTTCCTTAACCACATTTCTCATCCCCATGATTTTTTTTTTCTCGGTTAGAGCAATTAAGTCAAGTGCTGTTAAATGCATCCAACAATTTTAATCATGCCCGTGCTCTTTCACCGCAACAAATCTTCAAATGCTAGTTTACCTAATGGAATATCACAGCCAAATATCCCCCGCTCTAAAAATGTCCAACGTATAATTAAGATTCTTTATTTCAAATTTTTTTTTTTTTTCCCCACATGATGTTCTCAATATAAAATCCTATTTATTTTTTCAGGGTAACAAAAATTGTTTTTCAGTAGCCTATATCAAATAAGTCCAGCGGCCAATTCTTGATCTTTGGATTATTTGGGAAAAAGATTTACATAAAGTCGTTTCAAAGTCTTATTAAACCATTTGAAATCCAGTAACACCAACTAAATATGGTCAATGTAACTGACCCAAATACATATGTACAAAATTCAGCTCCGTGAAGCTGACTAGAATCTGTCATCCTAAAAAATAACCATATTTAGAAAACGAAACAGTTGTACAGGGTTTGAGAGGTGGAGGTAAAACGGTCGCTGAGCGTTCAGTGTCCCGTGTAGAAAAACGATAATCCAGATCAGGCAGGAGAGTGACGCGAGTTCGGCGAAACACTTCAGAACCAGAACTCTGGCTCGTCGAGTAAATGTAATTAAGTCTCTTCAGGGACAAAAAAGGGAAAACTAGCTTTCATTTCATTCCACAACTTTCCATTTCCCCCTTTCTTATCGTTAAGGGGGAGGGGGAGGGGGACGAACATCTAACTATTCTGTTAAAATCTGCAAGTCTGTGTATATTTTTTCCTTAAACTCAGCACACTATTAAAACAGAGAGATTGTGAAAATGGAGGGCATTTAAAAAAAAAAAATCAGATCACAAGACTTGGAACCTCCAGGATGCTTGGTCTTTGTAGTCCAAACAGTCTGTAGTGTTGAAGTTGAGCTTCCAGGAGGAGGCCGTTTGCTCCTTGTAATCCAGGCAGTCAGAAGAATTGAAGGCCAGGCCAGTGCCACTGTAGGCCTGGTGGTGATGGTGGTGGTGATGTCCTGAGGACTGACTGATGTGGTGGTGGGGGTGCGTGGACATGGACGAAGCTGCCATGGGGCTGAGCTGGTGAGGGTGGTGGTGAGAGTGCATGGGGGCCAGATAGGAGCCACAGTCCACCCCACTGAAGTAAGAACCGGAAGGAGTCGGGTAGCCCTGGCTGTAGCCGGTGGTCTGGTTGTAGGGCATGGGGTAGGAGGAGCCGGCCGTGCCTGAGACAGAGCGCTGCATGCAGGAGGTGTTTGAGGGAGCGACGGGCTCCGGCAGGGAGACGGACGGGGGTGCGGAGCCTGGAGAAATGGCAGGGCTCCAGATTGAGGAGACAGTACTGATAGAGGTAGAGGTGCTACTGATGCCTGTGTTATTGGTGGTGGAGGAAGAGGAGGAGGAGGAAGAGCCAGAGCCAGCACTGGAGACTGCCGGAGGGGTGAACTGGCCGCTGCTCTCGGAGCCTGTGCTCTCCCGGGTGGGCGAGGATTTCTTCTTTGCAGGCCGAGCTTTAGTGCTGCTGCCACTCTGCTGCTGCTGACGACATTTAGCACGACGATTCTTAAACCACACCTGCAGGACGGAGAGAGGGAACAAAATCACTTCAAATACACTGTTTGAACAACACCTTTAAAAATAGATGCACATGAAAAGAGGACAGCACAGAGTCCATTACGCCTAATACACACACGCACACAGAGCCCCATTAAATGATTATGGAGACCTTCGTGCATGGCTGAAGGACATGTTGGAGAGCCATTGTGCAATATCAGAGTGGAAAATAGCTAGTTATTAGCAGTTCCTGGCTTTAATTTGCATGCAGGGCCTTTCTGCTTTACTGTGTGGATCTAATTTCAGTGCTTGTAGACGACTGGGTGATAGCAGCCTATTGAGTTTCTCCGCAGAGATGGTAATTCAATAGTGGAAGGAGGGTCTGACCGTGTAAAGCGTTTTGTTTCATGTGCTTATTAAGAGCAAATAATATTGCTTGGGAAATTGACGGAGGGTTGCTCGTTTAGGCCTCGGATCACTTCAGAAAAAGCATTATTTGCATGAAAAATCCACAGCGTACTGTGGGAATTTAACATTTCCTCATCACTGGTATTTACATCAAAGTGAGTGAACATTTTAATCACAGTGGGAAACACCTTCATATATTTGGTCTATATGGCGACATTTCCTCAGTGCAGGAATATCAATTCAAAATGCACAAATTTATTAAAATTCTTTCATGCTGCATAAATTATTATTATTTTTTTTTTTTTTTAAATCACCTGCCAATTAACCCTAGTTCTGTAATGGCTGTACAACTAGGCTGACAACCAAAATGTCAAACACACACCTAGGAGTCTATACTGATAATTTCATTAATTGTAATCATTATTACAAACTACTACGAACTTAAGAAAATCAGTAGGGGGAGCAGCTGAGCATAAAGCACATTAACGAATATTTTGCGAAAGTTGTCATACTTGAAAACGATTGTTTTTTTCTAAAGGAACCATTTAGTCTATTTAGATTTCCCCCCCCCCCCACACATTTAGTGGTTACATGTAGCCTACCTGAACTCTGGACTCAGGAAGGTTGATCTTCAGTGCCACCTCCTCTCTCATAAATATGTCCGGATAACGAGTTTTGGCAAAGAGTGATTCGAGAATGTCAAGCTGTGAGCGCGTAAATGTCGTTCTTTCCCGCCGCTGCTTTCTGGGAGTCGCTGGGGGAATAAAAAACATGTCAAAAGAGTACACTGAATAATATATTATGATTTTGTTTACATGTGACATAGAAAGTAGCTTCAGGACATTTTCGAGGTTTTGCGGGTTATGCGTGCGTGCAGCCTACATCCAGCCTATATATAGGCGCTATATATATATATATATATATATATATATATATATATATATATATATATATATATAATACAATGAGCATATTAGGTCCATATAAATAGGCTAAATAATACAATGAGCATATTAGGTCCAATAAGTACTTTTTAAACATAGAAAAATGCGCTTAGACAATGTCAAGAATTTCAATAAAGCTTTATTGAAAACAGTTTCTAACTTTAAAAAAAAAATAGACAAAAACCACAGACGTGATTCTTGCTTACAAAGAGCTGTGTTAAACACGGTTCATCGTAGGCTACACGTAAACCGTGTTATAGGCTACCTGGGTATCCGACGGACGGGTGCAGTAGGTCCATGGCCGCGCCGCTCAGCCCCAGGCCGTTCATGGCGTAGGGGGGCTGTTTGAGGTATGACATCATGCTAGAGGCAGTCACGGGTCCCCCCAGATCTTGCCAATAGTTCGATTTCCCCCGATGTTGCAGTTTGACGAAGGACGGACACGATTTAAGTTACTGAAATGTGATTGTAATAATATTAACAACTGGTATTAACAACATTTGTTTCAAAAGGAAATAAAAGTATGAAAACTGCAAAGTAAATTAAATAGGAGTCAATAAGAACTGAACAATTATTAGAGAAAATAAAGTAGATAAGTGAAAATCTAATTGGTTTCCTGGTTTTAAATACATAAAATGTAGGCTATATTAGGCTACCTTTTTCGATGATGATAATAATAGGCTACTAATAATAAAGAATTTAAAAACGAAAAATAGCACAGTGGTGAAAACTGATACCAGGATGCTTGACGTGAATTAAAAGTATAATTGTATTTCTAAATATTTCTACAAATTTGACTTATGTCTGAGTTTTAGCTGAAATGTGGTTACAAATATAAAGTACGGATATTCCCCATTTTCTGACATTGCCTACATAAAAGACAAAAAGCATTTACAATATTTTGTAAGAGTTAACTACATTTATTTTACATTCGTTTTTTAAAGTAATGATTTAATTTTTTTAAATACGGCTCTGCAGAGTCTATCTTAACAGGGCATTTAAGACTAAACCTGTGCGGTTTACAATTAGCCTACTTATCAAAATAATTACAAAACTTGCAGGCCTAATAAACAAGCTTTGTGTAAAAAAATAGCTTTGGTTTATTGTTATTTTAAATTGTTTTGTTGAACATTAGCCTAGATCTTTCAAAATAGGTAGCCTAGGATAAAACGGAGATACTTCTAGAAAATTTATAATCGTATCGTAGCCTATATTATCATCACAGTCTGGTACCGTTTAAAAAAACGTATAGCCTACCGTATATTAACGCGTCGTATTAATTTTGATAGTCATTCAATTTTTAACCAAATGTAGGAGCTGACTGGTTATCTAGTGGAAATGAATGTGGATGGGCCCCGTGCTGAGAGAACCGAGCCGTTTAGAGTTTTGTGTATTCCAATCTATTCCTTGCTTATTCTTTAGATACTCTGTAAAGACTGGTTAGAAAGAACACATCTACGTGCAAATTAACTCAATTACAATGCAGATTAGACCTCAGGGGAAACACCTTCATTTCTTAGCCTTATCACCAAAATAAATTAACAAAAAAACAAAACACGCCTCTCCAATTACTCTCCAAGTGAGCTGGCTTAGGCTGTAACTTACTGCGGCGGTGAGTTGATCTGTACAAAAATGCTCGTGTTAGATTCAAACATAGACTACGGGTCGCTACTTTTTAGATTTAATTCATTTTGAAACATTTGCTCCGAAGCGACTATGACAATTACCAGACTGTTTACTACGTGACTTAAACACACCACTGACGTCGGTAGAGTGAAGAGGTCAATAAAAATAGAAAACTTTTTTTTATAGCCTACACCAAGAAAACGAAATTTGTCTAAATAGTAGGGAAAACAACTGTGCTAACATAAAAAACAACTTTAACACTATAACTGAAACTTATATTAGTTCCGTTTTGTGAAGTTTAACTAAAATTAGGGGGGTGGGGGGGAATTAAAAGGCATATTTGTTCTTACCTTTTTCAGAACCCTGCGTCTTTCTCCTCTCCTCTCCTCAATTTTTGCAGTCTGACAAGACGATAAAAAATATCCACCAGTGGAAGAGTTCAGGAAGGCAAATCGACCGAGGAACCTCACCAAATAAATGTCGTCTAAAACTCCTCAAAACTGCAGCAATGTTGATATGGCGCACGTGTCTGGCTTTTAGCTGGACTTCTTGTAGCCTATTGAGTGTGTGTTCCCGGGGTTTAAAACCAAATACATTAAACTCATTTGCTTTGGCTTTCTCGTTCGTGTCTGTCACTAGTTTAAGGTGATTGCTAATGTAGACGGATGGAGATTGATCACCTTCTCCTAACCCTGCCTCTCTAAGAGCGTAGGACACCTGCAGATCCGCCCACTCCAGCCAATCACCGCGCATTCCCTACTTGATTGACAACTGTAACAACCAGTCCACAGGCAGAACCTCTTTAAAGCCCCACCCCGCGCTGACTAAAGACATCAAGAACATCCACCGTCCAAATAAATCTTTAGAATTTCGAGAAGACCTAAAATATCCAGAAAAGTTAAACATTTCCTAGAAATTGGTTGGTAAATATATTAAGAAATGGGCTTCATTTGTAAAATTAAGGTAGGCTATAAAGTAGCCTAGGCTATAAAACATTTAAACTAGCTATTTAAATTATAATATTTTACTAAAAGACATTAAGATTGCGATATTGACCAAAACATTTAATTAGGAAGTCGTGTCAAATCTAAATAAAACATTTTATTAACATTGCTTAATTACAATTGTAACAGTTTTGCGTCTTGAAATGTAGCATATTTGATTTGGTTTAGCGGGCCTCTAGAAAAAATCGGAAACTGTATCGAATTTTTTAATATTATTAATTTATTAATGCATGTGAAGGCAGAATTTACCCACTTGGATTAAACAGTCTAATATAATTAAAGCTATACACTATCCAAAGAGTTTAAAAAAAATTAGAGGACATTAAGGTAGCCTATTTACTGAAATGTCTGACATCACGCAAATAAAAAATAAAAATAAAATAATTCACAAAGTAGGCTACCGTTTGATGCTACAAAATTTAAGTGATCGATTCATATATATAGTCCATCGATTTGAAGCGGGTAAAATGCATCAAAAAAGTTTAATTTATCCACTTTATCTATTTTCATTTTTATTGTTACCCCGCCTCATGAATATTAATGAGTGGCTAATCCCCACTTAGAATTACATTTCAGAATAGTGTGCGTAAAGTTTAATAGGCAGACGGAGAGGAAACGTGAAAGGGAGTGAAGAAAAACTCGGCCCTTCCAGAAAAGAAACGAAATCAGCACATAGAGAGAGTCTGAGCCTCAGAGAATCAAAGAAAGCACCTTTCAAGCCTCACTTTCCCAAAGAAATGCCAATAAAATACGGTAACAGAATATCACGGAGGGCGCGGTGTTTCCTTAACTGTTTCTGAAAGGCTCAGAAGATCTTAATAAGGCTTCGCTCGGTCCTTTTGTTGATCTCACAAAATCAACTCATTCTAATTGAGGCCTGAGCTGAAAGCGACCTAATGTTCAAAGCAAGTGACCGCCGGAGGAACGAAATTACATTTTTACTATATGGGGCATCCAATCAAAGACCGGGCGGCTTTACACGTTCTTCTATAGATCAACAAAGTCATCGACAAAAGTACTCTTGGGAATAACAGAGATGCTGCTGTTAGCCGTCAATAGACGCGGGAAAACTAAAGGGAAAGTTATTGGATACTGCTTAGAAGTACGGTGACAGGGAATGCGCATATTACATGTTTATACCGCCTGTTTAAAGCACAAGTGCTGCCTGCAGCCCCCCATTAAGGCAGATTCCACCTGCCCTTAAACTATGTCCACTGACAATAATAATAATAACAAAATGTGATCCTTAAACACACACAAAAGAAATATAGGCAATTCCTGCATTTTGTCCGTTTGCTGGTTAATTCTTTCGGCCCTGATGTTGCTAAGACCCCGTGATAAACCCAGAACAAGTATCAAGTTATCAGGTTGCAAGAAGCTTTTGTAATAAGAGTATTTTGTCTAATCCCAAATTGCAGTCGAATTTTCTAAATGCTGAGCTCGTAAATCTCGGGATTAGAGGAGGCGAGAAGAGGAGGGGGAAAAGTTTGGTTTCTTTAGCCGGCAGGATGGGAGCGAGTCGGCGATGTTGTCGGTCCTTATTAAAACGATGATGCATAAAATACGATATTGAAGCTCGTACAGAAGGCTCGGTACCGTTTCCCCCGGTGTATTTTAGGACGAGGGAAGGATTTTCGGCGGTCGAGGGGCTTCGTCAAGTCCAACTGCTCAACACCTGAAGTCAGGCCGTGGACTTCAAAGCTGGATCCACAGAACGCGCGCTCTGCTCGCGCTGAGATGCTGTGCTCTCGACGCTGTTTTGGATAGCTCTTTTCTTTTTGTCTGTGATAAGAACATTTATTTTGAAAAGCTTTCTTTCATTTATTTTCCCTCCCCACATACACTATTGGTTTGAGCCTGAAAACAACAGTTGACAAAATGGACAACAATCAGGTAAGGAGGGAATTGTGCATTTTGACAATGCCACACTGCATGTGAGTGTGGGAACTAGATACCCAGATCATATATTAGATTTTTTTTTTTAATTCTCGTTTGTGTTTGAGTTTGTGAAATGAAGAGAAAATATTAGATATAGGCTATCTAAACTTTCTGATAGTTGCTTGACAGAAACAGAACATTAATTGAGTTACTATAGGCTATAGGCTAATGCAAGGAACGCATCAAATAATTTAATCAAATATTTTTTTGTTTGTTTTACAAAAAATAATAAAGTTTAAGCGTTTTAAGAGCTACTTGTAAAAAAGTGCAATAAAAAGACAGTTAGGCTACTTTAAGCGTATGGCTATTCCAAAAGTAAAATATTAATATTCCATCCCACGTTTCACGGGGACAAATCAGATGTATGCATACACACCTTGTATTAAATTAGGCATCTGAATGGACTCAAGAACAGTTCAAAGCGGTCATTTGGATATGATCACCACGCTACCGTCTCATCGGGATTACACGGACCTCGCCACAGGTCTAATGCATAAAATTATGACATGCGTTTCAAGCATCTCACTGGCTAAAACTCTCCGATTAGTTAAGGCAACAAACAAATGTCCTTTCCGCCGCCGTGTAATGGCTTGTGAGCGCCAGTAAGTGTCTCCTATTCAGAAGATTACAGTCATCTGTGATAACTGCAAAATAATAAAAACAAAAACAAAACACCCGGGGGGGAAATGGAGGTACAGTCAGACCCAACCATCAGCAAATTAATGTGGAAGTATTAGAAGGGCTAAGGGAGGACGTCAGCTGTCAAAACTTATTTTGCTCGTTAAATGGAGGATGCGAAGCTGCGGTGATGACTGTTTGGCTCAGAATTAAGTGTCTGAGGGAAAGCAGATGCTTTGGACGGAGTGATTCTGCTTTAATCTCCCTCTGAGGAAAGACCTCAAACAAAACAAAAAACAAACATTTATTTAGAAATAACCGTAAAATGCAGGGGAATTTTCGCAAAACGAACTGGATGTCCCTCTCGAGTGTCTGTAAATTGTTTTATTAATTGATATTATATATATATATATATATATATATATATATATATATATATATAAACGTCTTGTTTCGTCATAGTGCGACTTCATATGGGTTTTAAAGTAATGAGTGTCAGAAACGTCAGTCCAGTCAGAACATACGAAAAATAAAACACCATTAATTAAAGTGATTATTAAATCATTAGGTTAAACATCATATAGACAGGCAAATCTCTTTCAATAATGACAGAAGAAAATATGCAATTATTTGTAATTTTTTTTTATAAAAACGAACAGAACTGCATAAACGGCTAAATTAAATAAATGTGTTTTAAAATTAAAATTATAAGTTTATTCATTATCCGCTGAAAAACGATGACACAATTTTCTTTAGAAAAACAAGGCCAAATCCATTAGCAACACCCACAACCACACCAGCTGCTGTTTGATTCGAGTATGAAATCATTTTGAATTTTATTGAACAGTGATATTTATAGTACAGTTGAATAAATAAACCGGTGATGCTCATACAATAAAGAAGTGAAATATGTGGACAAGAAAAGCCTCCCTTCTAACTATACAATAAATATTAAAGTTTTTGAGCAAATGTACAGGATTGTGAAGATGGTTACTTTAAAAACGTCTCAAACAGTAATAAAAGCAAACAGTAATAAATTACTCTTAACGTGACTGCTTCTGAAAATAAAGTTGTTTTTTTCCTCCATGCTTTTTTAAGCCTCAAACAGTGAAATGAAATGTACAACATGACCGTCTATTTCTCTTCTCACTAAAGAAAGCTCTAAAATGTTTGGTAAACATATTAAACATAAAAAAGTCAGTAAAACACAAAATATTTTTTTTTAAATGCAACAAGTCCCCCTTCACAAATATTCTACACGTAGAAAGTTGAGTAATTAAAACATTTCAGCTCTTGTTAGAGGAGAACATGCTGATAGATTTTCTTAAAACTGAAATGTGATATGATTTTGAAACCCAATCCTATTCACAAACAGAAAATGTCCCCAGTTTATGCGCTGTACCGAAACTTTGAGTTATAATTTCCTGTAAGAGCGAATGTCTTAGTGTTCAGATTAATCTAAATTATAATGGATTTAACCATTTAGTCAGAAAGTTTTCGAAATTGTACAGCTTTTTGCATCTCCTCAAGTATTAGTTCTTCAAGTACCTTGTTTGTGAAATCCAACAAACCAAACAATAACAAAATGTTTGAATTTGTGTATGTGAAACAATAAATCTCTCTTGTATTAATGAAACGGGATGCATCTCAGGGCATTCAGCAGTTCTTCAGCCCTTACATAATAAAAAGATCAACATATGAAGATTTAAAACAACAATAATAAAGTGTATGCTGTAGTCTCTATGACACAAATACATTTCAAGACTTTGTAGCGTACACGTCATCTTGCTCCTTTGTTGCTTCGGAAATGACCATCACTGAAGAACGCACTTCTCCTCTTTCTTTGCCATCTTGCCTTTGTTCTGTTCTAGGGTTCTCTCCAGGTGCTCATCTTCCTCTTCAGCCCTGCCGACACACACACAGGACACACAGGATCAAAGGTCACACACATGGACACAGGAGAATGCCACCTGCACCGCCACCACCTATGACCTGTACTCTGTCTGAAAGGCTTCAGTGTCACTTCAGCTCTTGAAATACTCACAAGCCCTCTCTGCCTGACTCTCTCCCCCCCAAAAAAAACCACCTAAACATGCTCAGTGGCAAAGAGAATGAGAGTGACTGGAAACTTTGGCCTTTAAACCCTCCCCGAACCACACTACAGGGCCTAAAGGACTAATCCCGGCTCTAGCAATCCCACAATGCCTTGCGGCAGGAGGACTTACTCTTTCTCCTGGGCGTCCA